TGTTAGTCTGTATCCGCAAAAAGAAGAGGAGGACTTGTGGCACCTTAGAGACTAACAAATTTATTACAGCATAAGCTTTCGTGAGCTACAGCTCACTTCATCGTATGCATTTTAAGCACGAAAGCTTATGCTCAAGTAAATTGGTTAGTCTCTAAGGTGCCACAAGTACTCCTTTTCTTTAAACTATTTCTACTACATTAGATGTCTTTAATGGGACATCTGAAGAAGTTTAAGGTGCCACCGGACTCCTTGTTGTTTTAATGGGAATATAATTGTGATAAACATTTACAGCCTAGCATTAAAAAAAAACCAAAAAAAAAAACCGGTATCTTCTCCTCAAGGCGTACTATGAAAGTTAGTTGAAGGGTTTGTGCTCTGGGTGATTTAAGAGATCATCTGGTCCTGAGTGAACTTTACTGCTTAATTCTCTTTACTGCATTGCTGTCCTTAGGCATACGCGGGCGGCTGCGTAGGGCACCCACCACAGCTGGCTGCTGCAGCCTGCTGAGTCTTCCTCCGGAGGGGATCTAGTACTTAAAAGTGAGGTTTCAGAGTAACCCTTGTTAGTCTGTATTCGCAAAAAGAAAAGGAGTACTTGTGGCACCTTAGAGACTAACCAATTTATTTGAGCATAAGCTTTCGTGAGCTACAGCTCACTTCATCGGATGCATACTGTGGAAAATACAGAAGATGTTTGTTTTTATACACACAAATCATGAAAAAATGGGTGTTTATCACTACAAAAGGTTTTCTCTCCCCCCACACCACTTTCCTGCTGGTAATAGCTTATTGTTTTGTGTGTATAAAAACAAACATCTTCTGTATTTTGTATTCAACAGTATGCATCCCTTGAAGTGAGCTGTAGCTCACGAAAGCTCATGCTCAAATAAATTGGTTAGTCTCTAAGGTGCCAAAAGTACTCCTTTTCTTTTTACTTAAAAGTGAAAAAGCCTTCCAGCCTGCGTATTAGCACAACACTGAAAGAGCCATTCAAGTGGTAATGAAGCCATTTAACAGGCATTTGCCAAGCCCCAGGTATATACTGTCAGTTTCTGAATTTACTGATAAAAAACAGTTGTGCATTACTGTAATATTTACTCAAAACATGTTAAAATTTGTTTTAAAAATATTTCATTAGTTTGTTGTTGAAGATTACAAAATCACATCTCTAAAAAATCCTTGCATAGATTTTTAGATGCACAAATCTGAGTATTCATCTTTAGCCTTAAATGCTTGGATCTTCAGACATATAGTTTTTTAAATAAATCCTTCAAAAGGCTACCCGTATCTAAAATACACATGCGAGCCCGAGCTGCCGTCGGGCATAGGGGCACCAGTTTTATAATACTGCATAGGGACTCATAAATCCTAGGACGGACCTGAATACAACAGTTAAGAATGTTAGCAAGCTGTATACTCAACTCTTCAGGAGAAGGACAATATTTTAATCAACAAGTTATTTTCCTGAGGCTGTGACACATTAAGATGTCTGGGATTTTAACAATGAGTGCTGTTAAATAATTTAGCTAAACCTCCTTGTGCTGTTTTGGGGCCTAGTCCTACACTTCCTGTACCGGCAGAACTAACTTTGGCTTCAACAGGAGGTTTGCCTGTGCTAGGACTGTGCCACCTAGTTCTATTAATTTTAAATAAATGTCTGCTTTTACTTAACATTTTGCTCACGTTATTTAACCGATTCGTGGACTGCCATTATGGATTAAGACATGAGGCTTCTGGTTCTAGATCAGACAGAGGCATTAAGCTGATGTTTCTGGTTTTTCAAATTCAATCCTGAGAGTTGCCAAGAGTGGGCATTTCTCACCTCTCAAAAGTTACTCAGTGCCTCGTAGGCTCAAATGAAGCTAAGGTTTTCGTAACAGCAAATCCCATTTATTGTGACTATAATCCCCAGCCGTAAACATTATTTCTGCTGTGTGACAAGAACTCTCCCCTCACCCCTGCTAAACACACCAACTTACAAACAAACTAAATGACCAGATAGATAGTTTGTCTGCTCTAGGAAGGTTCAGTGTTCCACCCTTCCCAGGCTTCTAAGTACATAATATGAGTGTGTGTGGATAAACTAAGTAACTGTTTCAAGGTTCAGACACAGATCAACTGTTTGAGGGAGAGGAGCGTTTGTCTGGGAAAATGATGATTTTATCATATATATGGCCAAATTTTCCAAAGTGTGTGTTTTAAGCATTTAGCCAATTTGACATAGGAAATACTCAGATACTACAGGTTTCAGAGTAACAGCCGTGTTAGTCTGTATTCGCAAAAAGAAAAGGAGTACTTGTGGCACCTTAGAGAGTGGCACTCACTCTCCTGCTGGTAATAGCTCATCCAAGAGTGAGTTTGTGTGTGTATGGGGGTGGGGGGGATGTGAGAGAACCTGGATTTGTGCAGGAAATGGCCCAACTTTATTATCATGCACATTGTGTAAAGAGTTGTCACTTTGGATGGGCTATCACCAGCAGGAGAGTGAATTTGTGCGGGGGGGTGTAGGGTGAGAAAACCTGGATTTGTGCTGGAAATGGCCCACCTGATGATCACTTTAGATAAGCTATTACCAGCAGGACAGTGGGGTGGGAGGAGGTATTTTTTCATATTCTCTGTGTATAAATAAAGTCTGCTGCAGTTTCCACGGCATGCATCCGATGAAGTGAGCTGTAGCTCACGAAAGCTCATGCTCAAATAAATTGGTTAGTCTCTAAGGTGCCACAAGTACTCCTTTTCTTTTTTCAGATACTACAATGAAGGGTGCCAGTACAAAACCCTAAGATAGCTAGATAACTAGAAGGTAAAGCCTGTTGCACACACAAATATAGAGACACAAAATTCTGAGAGTCTAGGGTAACTGGAAATAAGTGTTTTGTGTGTGCACCTGCATGCCTGAACACTTCCTTACACATGCTAAATATCATTTTTTTCAAGATGTCCAAAGAAAAGCATATATTCTCACAATTGCCTACTGATCACCCCCAGACCCCTGATCACCAACATACACATTCTCTTTAATTTATCTCTTCATCTGAACCATGGCACAGTAAACAGCCTCCAAGAGTTTTCCTGAACCCCCTCATTCACACAAGCAGTTGCCTCTGTAACCAAAATGAAAATTAGTCTCAAGCAAACCCTACTTCCACAGATATTGAGAGGAAAATGTTATTTACCTTAAAATGTTAATAATTTGTTCCTTCTGAATTGCCATTAAAAGGATGCTATAGAATAATAATTATACTAAAAACAACAACAAGGATTTTAACATTCTAATTTATTCCTTATTGTTCAGATTCATTATTTATTTCTGCATTTCTCTCAGCTTTCACAATGAAAACAGACTCATCAGTTTCACTTTTGCTTTTAGTCCATTTCATGTCAGGTTCATTTTCCTGTTCCCATGCTCTAGCCCAAAGCTGATATGTTTGGGTTGCAAACACTACTTTTGAATAAGGATTTGTTTCCACCAGAATAAAAAAAAAAACCATAGAAACATTTCTACTGGTCTTAGGTTTTGTAAAATATTGTTTTAATTTTATTTTAAAGAATATTTTTGACCCTGTGTGTGCCCATTCCAATTTCTTACAGATATTAGTTTGTTTTTAACCTCTGAAATATTTGTTCCAGAAAAAGACCTAAGAGACTAACCCTTACCTACTTTACCTATTAGAAATGTAAAAACATCTCATTGTTTTCACAAAAAGAACAGGAGGACTTGTGGCACCTTAGAGACTAACAAATTTATGAGAGCATAAGCTTTCGTAGGCTACAACCCCCTTCATCGGATGGAACATATAGTAAGATATATATACATACACACACACACAGATAAGTTGGAAGTTACCATACAAACTGTGAGAGGCTCTGTCTATCTATATCTTACTATATGTTCCATTCTATGCATCCGATGAAGGGGGCTGTAGCCCATGAAAGCTTATGCTCTAATAAATGTGTTAGTCTCTAAGGTGCCACAAGTCCTCCTGTTCTTTTTGCGGATACAGACTAACACGGCTGATACTCTGAAACCTGTCATTGTTTTCAGTACTTTAAAAACCACCATAAGTGATCATAGGGGTTTCTTTCTAAAAAATATGCTGCAATTGGGAGAAATGTTAGTTGCTGGTGGAACAGACATGTCTAAAGAGCAGCAGGTCAAAAACTATCCCCAGTTGGGTCTGTGCAAGTATAACTAAGGGCAGAATTTGATCCCCTATATTATTATAAGTATGAACCAACCCCTGCAGCCCTTACTCAGATGTGTAATACTTACGTAAACAGTCTCATAGAAAGCCACAGGACTGCTTTTATAAGGACTGCTCACATCAATCAGGGTTTCAAGATCAGGTCTAATTTCAGATCAGAGTTACATTATTCTACTGTATATTGTTTTATACAGATTTTTATTATTTTAAAAATTATATTTGTCACTTTGGGCTATGTGTTATTTTTAGATTTATAAAAAGTTAATGGTAAACTAATTTCAAATCAAATATACACTCTGGGAATTTGTGTACAACCATATAATACACAGTACGTTTCATTAACTCAGCTGTTGTCACATACAGGTAACATTGGTTTTAATGAAAGTGCACTTCTGCGATTACTTAGCTTCCCAGGCCCCTGTTCTCATTTGGGTATGCAGTAGTATTTGGCCTAGATTTTTGCCAAACAGCTTCTTTTTTAGGCACCTAAATAAGTGGCCAGATTTAAAAGTGCTCAACTTCTACTTAGACACTTATGATGGAATCCTGGTTCCAATCCCACCGTCTTCAATGGGGCCAGGATTTCGTCTCTAAGATAGCTGGACAGCTCAGTGGAAGCTGACAGGCAAAATCAATCTGCTTCATTTAGGTTCCTAAGGCTACATCTACACTACAGCTGGGATCGACGCTCTGACATCGATCCACCGGCTGTTGATTTAGTGGATCTAGTGAAGACCCGCCAAATCGACAGCAGATCGTTCTCCAATCGACCCCTGTACTCTACCCCGAAGAGAAGAGTAAGGTAGGTCGACAGGAGAATTTCGTTATTCACATAGCTGGAGTTGCATAGTCTAGGTTGACTTATCGTGGTAGTGTAGACATAGCCTAAGCGGGAGCTCAGGACTTTTGAAAATCTGGCCCATTGTGTTTAAGCACCCTACTTGTTGGAAATATTAAAGCACAACTGCACGATCACTTAGGTGCACAAAAGTCAGCATTTTTGCCAATTTAGCCAAGGATGTTAAGTGTTTGAATGTCATTGATGAGGGTGATAATGTTCTATTTTTCTGGGCTGTGAATGGATGAAATACATCTTTTGTTGTAAAATTTAGCATAGCAATACACATGAAAGTTTAAGACTTGGTGAAACCTGCCTGTAAGTGCTGGAAATATTAAAATCCTACATTTCTGATGGTTTTACTTCTCCTTTTTTGGCTGTTTTGTCCTTTACCACATTCATTTTTAAAATAAATGAATTTGTACTTAAGTGCCTACTGTTACAGCCTGTAATTCAATAATTCAAAAGAAGAATAGGAGCCTCTTCTTATTCCTACTGAAATTAATGGGAGTTTTGTCACTGACTTCAGTGGGTTGCAGGGTTGGACCTGGGAATTCTAGAAAATCTTTTGTGAGAGTAAAGATGGGAAGCTTTCCACGTGCAATATAATTTCTGAGAAATAAACTGGGCTTCTGTATGGCAGAAATGAGCATTTCAAGTACATAAGCAAACCATTAACAGAGCTATTAAACATAACACAACAGCAGTAGAAAAGAACTAGAAAATGCATTTTTGTATAAAATATCCAATTCCACACTATATCCCATAGATAGATAAATACACAAATTTATACAACCGGTGAAGACCTTCTATTGATGATTATCAAGTGATACTTTATAATATTATCAACATTGCTGATAGCAGTATCAGGTTTTTATCTATAAAAGTATACCAGCCAAATTTTAATTCCTACCCAAACTCCTCAATTATCTCAAGTCACCAAAAAAACCAGCTAATTATTTTACTCAAGCCAACAATATAGTCATGTACAATTCCTGAAAACATTAAAATCTTTGCAGCTTAAATGAGCAGCATTTTGATATAAAAATCATACCCCCAAATTTATAACCTGTTAGTAAAGAATCAGCAAAAGGAGGATCTTGTTGTATAAATGTAACACAGTATAATGCAGTAGTGAGATATTTATCCTACTTGGGAGAAAGGAGAAAAACTCCATATAACTCTCTGTGGCTTTGAATTACTCACCCATGAATGATCAGCTAATTCCCTGGTTGTAAGATAAATATATTACTCCAACTCATTTATCCTCAACAATATATATATCTCACATAACTGAAACTTTGACAAATATCAACACTTTTTACACCACTAGTTACTAGTTACCAGAACTGTCAAACAAATGAAGGAGCCTAATACTTAGAGGTACAGATATAGCTATGAATAAACAGTGGTAAACATTAATAGTGCAATCATAAACATTAGGAATCAAGCAAAATAGATTCTCTTTCCTTTTTGTCTTTCATGTCCAATTGGCATTATCTATGTACAATATATTTTCTTAAATACATTTTTGAAAGTAACACTACTGTACTTTCTGTTATGTCTGGGTTTATATATTAATTTACCATTCAGTGTGAAACTGGTTATCTGTCAACCTGCCAGAAGGCAGGGCTATGATACAATGACAGAACACAGACAATCTTTACCAGGATACCTTGTGAAAAAAAGTACATGTCTCATGTGGGTAGTGTGCAGTTTTCATAAGGTGAATTGGCATTATTTAATCCAGTTAAAAAGTATAAACTGGCAGATTACATATTTGTATAGACAAAATATCAGAGAATGCAGAGAAATCCACAAAAATGGAATAGGAGCATTATATTTGAAAATAATAATTCTTGTTTGCATTAAAATGATACGTTTTAGTGCACATTAGCTATAATGATACTCCTTCTCCAGAGCACAAGAGGCTGAGAGAACTATTATGTTGAAATAGACACAGTTCAGCTGGGGTTTTTTTATTACTGATTTTCTCTTCCCCCTTAAGTGTAAAATCTTTTCCTTTTAAACAGAAGTGTACTGGGGAGTAGATGGGGGGCAGGGGGAGGGTTTTACATGAAAAAAGTAGAAAGGGGAAAATGCACAAAAATATAGTGAAAAGAAAAAAATATAACAATTTCACATTTTTGCACATATTTCCCCCCTTACAATACCGTAAAAACGAATACCATTTGCATTTGTGATTTCAACAGACTTTTTTAAAGAAGGCATTTTGTATTATAAAGGCAGCACATGTACCATCTGAAAAAGTGGTTGTTACAATAGTTGAATGCAAGAAAGTAGAAAACATTATACAAAAAACAAACCCTGATTTTAAGATAATATATCTGCCCATGACAATCTACTACCGTTTTAACATGCATGTCTCCCTTTCCTCCTTCTAAGTAGTATAGCCAGGTCATCTGAACAAATACTCTCACTTCCATTTTAATAACAACTGCTCTGTTTTGCCTTGCACATATTTTGCAATGGGGCAGAAGAGAGTTGTCTACATTTAGAAGCAGAAGAGTCATCTTAAGTGTATTAAATCATGTTTTTGTTTCCTCCAGTGGGGTTTTATTTTTACTTTTTTGGTTATAGTATTACCTGACACAAGATTTCAACTGTCATGAGTCAGATCCCCCCAAAATCATATTGGTAAAAAAAATTGAGTTTTTAAAAAATAATAGTTTTGGGGAATCTCTTCATTTTCCTTCTGCTTTCTGAGCCCTTTGAGTACATGTTTTCAACCTTTTCTCCATAGCCATGAGGACCTGAAATTCACTTAAAAAAAAGGACTCCAGGAGCTGGGGCTTTAACAAAAAACACTAAATATTTCAAAAGTTGCTATAAAATCATAAATTAGTAACATTGTGTTTAAAAAGTACTTCCTGCAGAAAATCGACATAGGTAAACAACATTATAGACTTATGCCTTCAGTAAAAAGATTCCTTAGTTATTTTTGTTCTACTCATCAATGCATTTGGAACTGATATGAAATACATTTTTAAGTCATAGTTTCCTATAAAATTTGCTCTCCTGGACCTCTCCTGGACAAATAAAGTATAAATAAAGTCTGAAATACTTAGTCTACTTGTACATTAAAAAAACTTCCACTTACATAACTGATGTTAAATTCTTTGGCAGTCATTTAAAAAACCTGGATTACTGATAGAAAGACAACAGCTGAAAAGTTGCCCTATCCTGAGGTAATTTTAGGAGTGTTATAACAAAGAGGAATTATTAATAATACATTTTCCCGTCCAAAAGGAGTTTACCCTTTCCAGAGGCAGTCACTGAAGACTACACAGAAATTGAGAAAGAAGACTAAAGAAATTCTGCTGCATATGCCCAATTCTATGCATTGTTTAGTGAGACAGTGGGTATGTTAGAGATAATTCATCCTATGACTAGGAAATTATAATCTTGAGTTTACTAGCAAGATTAATTATATATTCTATCAGAACACCCACAAATTAGAATGCTGCCACACATTAAAATGTACACACTGTAGCTTACAGAGAAGCTGGGAGAGAAGGGAAAGATGGCTTATGGAGACATAACAGATGTCATCTGAACATAATTAAAGGGTCAGTGTCAAGTACATTTTTAAAACTCTCTATTGTTTGCATACCTTTTTAGGACAACAGCTTGAAAATAATGCACTTGGCAAACAGGTTTTGTTTTGGTTTGGTTTTTGCTGAAAACCTAATGGAACATAGCTTTTTTCTTTTGTTTGTTTACCAGCATAATCAGTTATGTCAGCACAATTCTCGGAACTGCGTCCTTTTATTTACTCTACAGCACATGGCGCTTGAGACAGACAGACTTGAGCTATTTTTTTTTTTTAATTAAAATTTCTTGGCAAGAGTGGTGAAGGATGTTAGAAAAAAAACTTAAAGAAGACATTTACCTTCCAGGGGACAACCCCTACCAAATGAGAAAGATAGGTCAAAGTTAGGACCTAACACTTGACACTTTTCCCTTTAAAACATGTGGGAAACAAACTTTTTTAAACCAAATGAAAGTCTGTTCAAATATTAGAAAGGAATAATATATTAACCTACTCTTTAACCATTAAGAGTTGACAAAGCCTCTGCTGTTGAAAAGCAGGATCTATGATTAGTAAAAGCCTTGCCTCTTTAGCTGGCATGCTGCATTCTTGCAAATGGCAAGGAGGTATCCATTTTATACAAGCTCATTTAGGGTATGTCTACACTTAAAAGGCTACAGGTGTTACTGTAGCACTTCAGTGTAGACCCTCCCTACAGTGACAGGAGTGGTTCTTCTGTTGCTATAGTTAATCCACCCCCCTGAGAGGCGATAGCTAGGTTGACAGAAGAATTCTTCCGTCAGCCTAGCACTGTCTACACTAGGGATTAAGTCGGCATAGTTAAGTCTTGCAGGGCTGCGGATTTTGCACATCCCTGAGAGACACAGTTATGCTGATATAAGTTTTCAGTATAAAGAAGACTTTACCGTGTAACTATACCCAAGCTGTGAAACATCAAGATATCCTAATTATTTAAGTAGTTTTACTGTAGTTTTTACTTCCAGAGATATTTAAATTCTTTACCCATTAGATAAATACTTGATGAAAAATTATCTGGGAACTCACTTAATTATAAATCTATTTCTTGTTTAGATGCACCCCAACTGAATTTCATAAAGCCTGTCGTAATGAAATGTTTAGCATCGGAGTAATTCTAAATGAACCTGTTTACACTCTGTATTATTGTTTTGCATGTGATTTACCTAAGCATGCATAGTGTACAATACTTGGGAAAGGATTACCATTTTTACTAAATATGTATGATTTACCAGTGCAGTAGTACTGGTAAGAAACAGACTGAATATAGATATGTGGAGTAGATGCGTACATTGTTTTGGTATTTAACGAATCTTTAAAAAACAATATTAAAATGGTGCACATGGCTAAGTTCTTATATCAGACTGGGGAAGTTTACCTCACAAAATCAAATCAGCTGTAACATTAAAACATTTTATACACATAGTAAACAACATTAAATTACTTCTGGCTTTTAAAAAAACATTTCACTAACCTTTTTAATCCTCTTTTTGCATAACAAATAAAATGAGTAACGCCTAAAGTTCAGATATGCAACAGATATTCAAGGTAACTGACTAGCTATATTAAAATGCGCCATAAGAAAGCTCTCTGATAATTTTCCATTTGGGAAGCTGATTGATAATTTTGTGAGGTACCTGTCACTCCAAAACACTCAGGAGTTAATTACCTGATATACCTACTCAACATGGGTAATTTAAAAACTGAACTATAGAATGTGTCAATTATATACAATGCACATCATTTGCTAAATATGGCACAGATGCTAAGTGTTCACATCCACAAGTCTTTGCCACAGAACATGTTCAGGTAAAATACAACACTGAAGAATAGAAAAGTGCCTGTAACCAAATAAAAGACACACAAGTAGTAATAAATTAAATCTTATTAAAACCGATATAAAAATTGTTCAAGTGTTCAAAGTATCAGATATGTCATGCAACAGAAAGACAGACGATTCAGATAGGTACACCATGCATTATAGTTTGCATTCATGCTGTCTGTAACCATACTCCTTGGCCAATGAGTGCTAAGTACCTGAGGCAATGTCAGTCTTGCGAGCAAAACCAGGAACATTCCATCTCTCAGTCTTCTGTACAAAATGTTTTAGGGAAGCTGTGCTTCAGAAAGTTAACCAGGCAACCTCAGGCTCTACAGTGATACGTTGCTGCATTGTAAGAGAGCTGTACTGGGCCATACGTAAGGAAAGCGATCATTACTTAATTACATTTTCCAGGCAATGCAGTTCACTATATACCAACCTCTTTACCAAAATGTGCTCACTTGAACTTGCCAAGTTTGCACACTAAGAAAAGGTCTTCACTGAACATAACTTTTTTTTTTTTTTTTTTTTTTTTGGCACAAAACCATTCAGATTCTCAGATCAAGCTCTTCACCACACAAGAATGCAGATATATTAACCTGCATAGTACACCAGTGCTTATCCAACCATATAGTAAACTACAAACCAGTAAAGTGCCTCCACTTTGCTAACTAGCAATTCTCCCTCCTTCCAAGGATAGCACCAGTATAGTTACACTTCGGACAAGGGAGCGTTCTTGCCAAGCTCTTTAATTCCCTGGAGAATTCGCTTCATATGACCCACTTTCGTTATCCCCAGGTCCTACAAAAGAAAAGGAGAGGAGGGTTTTGTTAACAAAAGAGAAAAATCCCAACACGATTCAGCCATGCAGCAGATACAGAATCCTTTACAGTTCATTGTAAGTAATTTGCAACAGCAAACACATTTCTAAATGTGGAAATAGCAAAGTGTTATCTAACGTTACAAAAAATATACATTACAGACAACTTATCATGAACCTCTTTCTATTCAGCACAGAGAAAGTTACTTACCTGCAATAACCGCTGTACCTCACACAAACCCTTACTTTTGTGTTCTCCTGACTTCTGTGCACAGCCATTAGGTTTTTTAAATTTCCAGAAATTGCTCAATCTCCCTCTCCTCTCTAACATAGCAGTTGTTGGCTTCAAAGGATGTGATAGATCATAGCTTCCATCCATCGATTTTTATTTTATCTGTGGCCCTAACATGCCTATCTTAATCAGCAAATATGCACATCCCCATGGGAAAGTGGATGTAGGTCTACAGGTATGTAGGACAACTTTCCTTCAGAGAACAATAGCTAAGGCTAGAGTGAATTTGTCAGTCCAGAAAGGTAAGTATCTTAACATGGATATACTTGGTAATTAGAGGAAAGTTTCTGACAAACATGACAAAGACATCCAGAAGGAAAATGGGAAAGTACACATGAAACAAATCTGAATCTATTGTATAACTTTCTCTGTGTACATCAATGTGGCAGTTAACATCAGCTGAAATGTTCTCAATATTGTTTTCTGGGACCCAACTTTTCAGGACTGGCACTAGCAAGGACCTCTTAAGAAAAGGCTGCCTCTCCCCACCCACCCACACCTTTGGAACTCATTCCCTTTGGCAGTGAATTTGCAGAATTTCAAGGGCATTGTGCAAGAATTATTTATTTGTTTCAGCTTACTCATTGTCATTCACTTTATTTCAACAATTTGTCTACATTTTTTGCAACAGCCATCATACTTTTATTTAACCCGGTTGCTGATGAAATTGGTTTTTTATTTTTTTGTAAACAGTGTGTAGTTGAAATAAAAAAGGAATCAAACCTTGTTTAATTGGTATTGGTCTAGTGGTCAGAGCAGCAGAATGGGATTCCTGACTCTGCTACTGACCATGTAACTTCAAGCAGTTTACCTAACCTTTCTGAGTCTCAGTTTCCCCACATACAAAACCCAGCTTTGTTAAACACCTTGAAATCTCCTTGGATTAATGATGCCAGGTAAGTACAAGGTATAAATATTATTAAAGTTATTTGAATAATTATGAACATATGAAATATTTCTGAAATATAATATCTTCCACTTTAGGAGAACACATTTTCCACATCAAGGATAATAAAGAGGGAAAGGGCAGCATAAAATAATTCTTATTATTTTAATGTACTGTAAAAACTGTAGTAACAATATATATCCTGGTATGCACACTTTCCACAAAGAGTTCATATATATGTTTTCTGCAGTTATCAAAAACTCTGGAAATAAGCACTGATATTAAGATATTATGCAATTTAATTTCCATTTACCAACCTGAGACAAGGAGAGTGTGGTATAAAATTGAAAGAAATCCCTTTCTCTCTATAAAATTTAAGTGGGTACAAACCGAACACATGGGCCTCTCTTCACCTTTGAAGATTTGAGTTCAAATTCAGGTTAGGCTGGAAATGGAAAGAAATCAGTCCTGTTTCCTAATGGACAATTATCTACACTACAGCTCAAGATCATCATATATGATGATTTGGCATAGTTAGAAGGTCCTGCTCAGAATGGACCCCAGACTAAAACTGCAAGGGTTTTGCACATTTAGTTGGATTGACAGACTAATGTGAAGAAACTTGTAGCACATCTGTCCGTACTGCACTTTGCTCTATCCTCTGCTGTCAACCTCACTCTTTCTTGAGTACTCAACAAAAACATCTAAGAAAGAAAAATAGTTAATGTATGCAACAATTATTAAATGCCCATAATGACTACTGCAACTTTTTTCCTGAGAACGAACTGGCATAAGGCTATAGATTCGAAGTTGGAGAAATTTTCTTATTTGCCTTCAAGTTAATTTTCTAATGAGGAAAAGAAAAGTTCAAAGCAACTACTCAGAAACCTCCTTGCAACAATTTGTCACAGGATCTACTGTTTCCATCTAAATTACAGTCACTACAAAATATAATGAAAATAGAATATATATCTTTCACCATCACCACCAAACTTGGGCATGCATTTGATGAGGCTTTGCCAGGATTTTCATTCGTAGGATTTTTTGGTAGTTGAGCATTGTAGCAGGATTTTGTCAGATTTCAGGGATTAGAAAGAGGACAGGATCGTGTTATGACACTTCCAACATATCAACAGCTCTTTCCCAACCCTAGGCCTCAGACTCTCATTACAAATTCTCCTGGCCCCTCAGTTAAAGTTTGCCACCCTCAAGAAAACAAAAAAACACAGGTAAAAAAGTTCTGAATTTTCACTTGTGGAGATCTTCCCAAATCATTCTGTTGAGAAGACAGCACATATGACAACTTTGGAAGCCATCTAGATGCCAAAACGTTTGCAGGGATTTTTTTTATTCTGACTTTTGCCCTACACAAAGGGAGGGATTTGGAACAGCAACACACTGCAAATCATTCACAAAGTAGACCCCACCCTCCAAAAGCATACATTAATTACCTTATATATGGTACCATATATCTCTATTTAACTGACATCTGATTAATGAACTTCCATTTGTCCAACATTTGTTCCATCCTCTGGGTTTTCAAAGACGGCAGGCTAACATATGTTGGAAGGAGGACCCACAGCACAATTTCAAGTCTAGTTCCAGAGCAGGACCTTCTCCCCCCACCCCGATCCTTTCCATGCCACACTGCTAGGCTACATTGCCAGCCCATCTCAGTTTCTACCGCCCAGTGATGTAAGTACTCAAGAGGTCCTTGAAAAATAACTGGAGAAGAACCTGATGAAAGTTCTTGCAACAATTTTTTTCTTAAATTGTTGTCAGCTGTCAGGGAATCTTCATCTGTACTATACTCTGGAGGTGAGGCTAGAGACGGTAGGCTGCCTAGCCAGCTTTGCCCCCTGCCCCCCGGCCAATAAAAAGGTTTGCCACTCAATCTTTGGCAAAAAGGGTTCCATTCTAATATTTCCAAACAAATAATACATATAGAATTCTCTGTTAACATCTTTAAGATCAGAGATTTCTTCTAGCTGTATTACTAATTTAACAAAGACATCCAATAAGGCCAAAATCTAACAAATCTCAAAGGATTTTTTTTATATTCTCTAAAGGAGCTTTTTTTGAAAACTGTAATTCCTATGAGAGACACAAGGTGGGTGAGGCAGCAGCTTTTATTCGACCAACTTCTGTTGGTGAGAGACACAAGGTTCACGACCTATGCTGACAGGAGGGGTTCTCCTTTCAGCGCAGGTAAGCCACCTCCCCGGGAAGCAGTAGCTAGATTGACTGGGGGGTCAGGTCGGCTTAACTACACCACCCTGGGGTATGGATTTAATTTTCTAGTGTAGATCAGGCCACGGAGCTCTTCTTCAGGTCTGGGAAATGTACTTAGGCCTAGTCTACTGTAGGAAATTAGGTTGGTATAACGACATTGCTCATGGGTGTAAAAAATTTGCACCATAACTCTAGCAAAGTTATGAATTGGGAGCTTAAATTCATAACTTTTCTAGACACTAAAAATCATGGACTGAATAGAGACATCAGCTTTATAGCTTATTACAACAAATCTATAACACACTAACACCTCCCCTCAAGCTGTCTTTCCCCTGCTCCCCCTTTTCCCTCCTCCTTTACTGGAGTGTGTTAAAGTGCCACTTCATCTTGAATGGTCCATTGAAATATATGTTAACTAAATAGGCTAAACAATCCATTCCATCTTGTATTTACCTGTGACACTGAGTACGTTTCTCAGACCTGAAGAAGGGCTCTGTGTAAGGTCGAAAGCTCATCTCTCTCACCAATGGAAGTTGATATTGATATTGAGATAATGATATTATCTCACCCACTGTCTCTGTCTAATATCCTGGGACCAACACAGATACAACAAACACTTAATTCCTATTACTCAGTAAACAAAAACTAAAGATGAAAACAATACACAACTCGCACCATACATTTCAGTTTGACTCTCATTATACAACCATCCAGATTCTGCATCTTCAAATATCGGACGCACTTCTGGGCTGAAATCTTTCGATAGAGACATTAGAACTACAGTACCACTGTGGCCCAGTAGATACTCTTGCAGCTAGGAATATTAGCAACCAGCTCTCATGCACAGGAGCAGTTTTAAAATGCTAGTAACTGTTAACATTTCTTTCTGTAAATTAGTAGAGAGGTTAATTCTCAGGGAGAAGAACTCAGCTACAATTTTCCTGTTTTTGAGTAATCCATGTGAAAACAAGCACTTTAAATGCCTTAACAATATAGAATTAAAGCGTTGGGACATGCTGAGGGAGTCTGCTTGCAGAGCAGACAAAGGGAACTGAGGTCTCAGTCAGCCCTCCTTCCGCAGCTTCTGTGGCATTGACACTCAATGTTTCATTCCCACGACCATCAAAGGAAGGGAGAGATCTTGTGGATGGAAGGTCCCTGCTAAGATCAGCTACTTGGGGCTTGGGAAGGGGCATTATGAAGGGACAAGAGAGGCAGAGTCTTGAGGGACGTCTGGCACTGCTGGCAGATGTTCTCCGTTTTGAACAGGTGCCACAGAGGCACAAACTGAGTCCAGGACACACCAACTAGGGCAGAAAAAAGACTGGTGTCAGGGGCTCCTCAGCTTGTTGAGTTACTTTCAACCCACTTGGATGCTGGGGTGAGGAGGAAGTGGTCACATTCCAGGACTGGGGATCTGGTTCATGAAAGGGCTTTCCTGGTGCTACAGTTTTGCAGTAACCCTCAGATAGTAGAGGAGAGAAGTGGGCCAGCAGGCTCAGATATAATGGGCAACAGACAGAAGCCATTTCCCATAGCTCAGGCAAGATGAGAGGTAAATCCACTGCAGACAGTCTAGGGAACAGGATGGTTACATACAGGTGAGGGATCAAAGACCATGCCACATAGTACAAGCACAGGCCTTGTACAAATGTGGATCGCAATGAGGAAAGGATGTACGTGGATCCTAACTTCCATGTGTATTGAAGACCCATTAAGTTTTCACATTTCAGTAGTCATGTGGGAGAAAAATATGATAGGGGAAATTTGTGGATGTGTTTTCCAGTGTCCTTGTAGCACAGGGATATATCTTTGATCAACTCAGCAGTCAGAAAATGGTAGGTGCCGAGCACTGTCTCTAATTGGCAAGCTGAATTCAGAGTTCATGCCCGTATGGTTTGCAACAAACAGGCTGAGTGCTCCACTCAACTATTCAGATATGCTGCTATAACACAAAAAACACAAACATTTGGCCAAAGGGTCTGCTGGGATTTAATGAGCACTTTTGGAGAAAGTTCCACAGCAATTCTGGCAAAAATATGAAACACTCCCAACATGACACTGTGGTTACTGCACACGACCCAGCCTCTAGTTAATGGACAGGGGCTTCCCTGCACCACTGGAATTAAAAATCAGTCTGATTCATCATTTGCCCTAGCTTCCAGGAGAGTCAGTTAATGGCCATGTTGCAGAAAGCTACTTGGTTAAGTTTCAGTTTGATCACACAATCAAAATGATCCTTGAATAAGGCCAGAGGGACTTTACTTGCCTACTGTAATGCTGTTTACTACCAGTCCATTCCAATAATTTTAATCTCTTAGGTTTTTCCTTTCAAGGAAGCCACAGCCCTGGGGTGCCAAGTTTCCTCTCTAGCTTTTGAATCGTCTAGTCCCTGTTGAGAATGACTGCACTGCACCTGAAGCTTGGGGGGAGGAATGTAGCAGTGCTTTACAGGTGTGGGGGAAGGAAGGAGGTCAGAAGCTGATCTAAAAATGGTGGGTGGAAGTCAGCATGGCAATGCTGACTCATCCCCTGGTTACCTATGTGTGGAAGGCTTTAAAAGGGGCAGATTCAGGCATTAAAAGCCCTTTCTCCATGCAGCGGACAAGGCAGCACCCACCCTCCTTTCCTCTTGTCAGGGTTCCTTCCTGATTCTGAACTCTAGAGTACAGATGTGGGGACCTGCATGAAAGACCCCCTAAGCTTATTCTTACCAGCTTAGGATAAAAACTTCCCCAAGGTACGAACTTTGCCTTGGCCTTGAACAGTATGCTGCCACCACCAACCGTTTTAAACAAAGAACAGGGAAAGAGACCACTTGGAGACGTCTTCCCCCCAAAATATCCCCCCAAGCCATACATCCCCTTTCCTGGGGAAGGCTTGATAATAATCCTCACCAACTGTACAGGTGAACACAGACCCAAACCCTTGGATCTTATGAACAATGAAAAATCAATCAGGTTCTTGAAAGAATAATTTTAATTAAAGAAAAGGTAAAAGAATCACCTCTGTAAAATCAGGATGGAAAATACTTTATAGGGTATTCAGATTCAGAACACAGAGGATCCCCCTATGGGCAAAACCTTAAAGTTACAGAAAACAGGAATAAACCTCCCTCTTAACACAGGGAAAATTCACATAAAACAAAAGATAAACTAATCCACTTTGCCTGGTTGCAATATTGGAGACTTGGATGAGGATGGGTTGGAGAAGATGGATTTCTGTCTGGCCTCTCTCAGTTCCAAGAGAGAATAACCATGTAAACAAAGAGCAGAAACAAAAGCCTTCCCCCCCCACCCCGAAGATTTGAAAGTATCTTGTTCCCTTATTGGTCCTTTGGGTCAGGTGCCAGCCAGGTTAGTTGAGCTTCTTAACTCCTTACAGGTAACAGGATGTTGCCTCTGGCCAGGAGGGATTTTATAGTTCTGCATACAGAAAAGTGATTACCCTTCCCTTTATATTTATGACACCTCCCCTCGAGATGCAAATATCAGGTTGGGTTAGGACTTGCTGTGGGCATAGCGCTAGTCACTCCTTTTTAGGGGGGCTGAGAAGGAACATTTTCCCTCACCACCAAATTGGCTTCGGTGGAGTAGGGTTTTTCCGCCTTCCCCACAGTGGGTGTCAGGGAGGACCTATTATGGTAAGGAGGAAAGGTTGCTAGGCTGTATGTCGCAACTTATTCTGTAAGCGTGGGGCGGATGTCCAGTGCAGGTACTCCATAGAGAAGGCATTCAGTGACCAGATAAATGGGCTGGTAAAGGACTTTAAAAGGAGGTGCTAGTTAAAGGAAGAGAATGGGGGGTGGGGCAGGTTCGGGGCTTCTATGATTGGTATGGCAGAGAGCCAACCCCCTTTCTTATAGTCCACGTTAACCCTCCCCTACAAGGTGGGGGGTGGATGCTAATATCTAAGCCAGGGGTTGGCTGGGGGACCTGGATGAAAAATGAAGCGTGGTTGATAGAAGCCCCACATAGTTATTTGAATGAACATGGAGTTGCCTGCACTGTATACTTTTATCTGCCAGATAGTCCCAGACATCTAATAATAAAGCTGTGGCCTCATTAAATCCATATAAAGTTTCCTTCTTTCAGTATAGCTGGACAATGGGCAATTACACCAGAGACTGGAAAGTTGTCTGTGATGTATTATTTGGATAATTTTCTGTTTCTTGGTTCTTGCAGGTTTGGACTCTGTGAGGCCTCAATGGAAGCATTTAATTCAGTGACAAAGAGGCTCCGGGATCTCACTGATGCAGGATAAAACAGAAGGACCAGTGACATGTATCAAACAAGACTAAGTACATTACAAGAACACAACTACCTATGCCAACAACATTCCTCCTATGGCAGATATACAATGTCAGCACTCTCTTATCAGGAAGTATTGCAGGCTATGGGAGCAATTTTTAAAACAATTTAATGGAGCATCCTTATATATGTCCACATGGAAAAATAGCCTAGACATGCAGCAGTATTCAAATGTGGCTGGACACAATGACTTGTGTTTTAGATGTAAATGTTAGGATACTGTATAAATTGAAACCTCTTGTTTTATGCAGTATGAGAAGTTGCAATTTGTTGCATGCAGATTTCTCAAACACATTATCAAAAGGTCATGATTTCTGTTTCAGTAAAAAGTAATTTAATGAATCCCCAAAGATACCGTCTCTATTACATATAATGGACACACTTAAGTAGATCCAGAAAAAGACCAGCAATCTCAAACACCACCATTTCAAAGAGCAAAGTAACTATCATCTGCCAGGCTAATATTTTTCAATACATTAACACAGGGGTGGGAAAACTTTTTGGGCCGAGGGCCACATCTGGGTGGGGAAATTGTATACAGGGCTGGGGCAGGGGGTTGGGGTGCAGGAGGGAGTGCGGGGTGTGGGAGGGGGTGCGGTGTGCAAGAACGGACTATGGGCAATGGAGTGGGGCAGAGGAGGGGTGCCGACTGCAGCAGGGGGTTGGGGTTCAGGAGGGGTGCGAGGTGCAGCAGGGGGCTCAAGGCAGGGAGTTAGGGTGCAAGATGCAGGCAGGGAGTTGGGGGGCGGGGTGCAGGAAGGGTTCAGGGTTGGCAGCGGCGCACACCGGGGCCAGGGTAGGCTCCCTGCCTGCCTGCCCTGGCCCCATGCCGTGCCTCTCCGGGAAGCGGCCAGCACCATGTCCCTGTACAGCCCCTGAGGAAGCGGGGGGCACAGGGCTCTGTGTGCTGCCCTTGCCATGCCTCCAGGTACCTCCCTCGAAGCTCCCATTGGCTGCGGTTCCCCATTCCCGCCAATGGGAGCTGAGGTGGGGCAGTGCCTGAAGGCAAGGGCAATGCACAGAGCCCTCTGCCCCACCCCCACATGGATGTGGTGCTGGCCGCTTCTGAGAACGGCGCGGGGCCTGCAGCACCACGGGGGCAATCCTGTGGGCCGGATCCAAAGCCCTGAGGGGCCGGATCCAGCCCGCGGGCCGTAGTTTGCCCACCCCTGCACTAACATTTCTTCTCCCAAAACATGGTTCTTATTTATTTGAACTGAACAGGGAGGAATGATTTTTCATTTTTTAAATAAGTGATCTCAGAAAGATAGAAGGCTTGATTTTTTTCACAAAATTAAAAACTGACCAAAAACAAAACAAAAAGCTGTTTTGAAGGATATATTTGGACACCTGACAGACAAACTCATAAGCCTGCAAATGACCAATGCTGAAGACTATCATCAAACTGTCCATCTTCCACACACTGACTACTGAAGTAATGTATTCATAATTTTAAATGAACTTTTACCTGCTGACCTTGCACTAGATACATTTAAAATAATTATCACTAGCCTAATAAATTGATTATGAACAATTCACCTTCCACACCGATCCTCTTTACTAAATCTAGTTAAAACCGAGTTTTTTTAAAGTTAACACTGTAATATATTGATGTAAGTAAGACAATGGGAGTGCTTTCACTGAGCTTGATGAAACATACTATAATTCTATATGAAGCATGAGAAAAGATAATCTCCAATATTGCTAATATCCATGGCTTGAAAATACAGGACAACATGTAAGAAATTCAGGCCACAGGACAGCGTGTAGTAATTTACTGCATATTTGCACAGTATAAGCCAAGCTACAAGCACATAACAGAAGCAAGGACAGTAGAAAGGTTTTGTTTTGTTTTTGTCAAAGAAAATTCTAAAGAGCAGAAAAGTAGCACAAAGGAAATACCTTAAGATCTCGCCTTTCCAGATGTAAAAGCTCAGAGCCTCGGATGTCATGGCTGATGAAGATTTCTTTGTACTCTCCCAAACTGAGCAGATCCAGCCAAGCAGCAACTTCATCTGTGCCCCATTTTTGAACTACCAAAGTTAAGAGCAAAACCCCCTTAATTTCTACATGCTCAAATGCATTACAAGCAAAGGTTAGGCCAAAGAGTGTGGAAAACAGAGTAGAACTGCCGTGCTAGCAAAGGGAAAGGTTAAAGGCGTCATTTCCACAAAAACTGAGTTTCTTTTTACATGCAGGTTAGAGGTTAGCAATAAATATGAGAAGGTATCTAAACAAAGATGGGGTTCTTTGCTTTGCAGCCGAGCTTTCAGCTTTACTCCAGTTTCCTCAATAAAGCCATCAAACCTCATATACTTCAACAAATTCACTTTTAATCATCTTAGGACCAGTGGTGCAAGGTCCAAGTTTGTTCCACTTTATACTAATGACACTTTATTGGTTCAGTGCATCCAGAAATAACACACACTTCAAATACTAACTAAAATGTAAAATCAACATATATACTGTACTCCTATAGAGATCGCAGCATGCAAGCCCAACTTTACAAGTTTTTCTAGTGTTCTTAATTAATGCAACAAATATTCTATTAACCATACTGGTTACATAGGCCATTAAAAAGCTCTCTGTCAACATTGTTCTCTAAGGTTAGTTGCCCACATTAGTCTTAATAGGCCAAGTTTATTCAAAGTAGGTTTATGTTACTATTATTCTTTTGCACCTTTGTTTATCTTTCATTCAATGCTGATTAGCTTCAGGCTGAAGTACTCTAATATGTTTTATATTTTAACATATTAGAGAACTGAAAAGCTAAATTCAGATTAAAAACTGTAGAGAGCTTGTTTTGCATTTGAGGGCAGTGTAGCACACTGCCTGCTGTAAAAGACCAAGGCGTGGGAGCAGTTTTAGGTCTATTGTGACACCAGTTATTTTCAAGGCATAATATCAAGGCAGTATGTTCACAGAAAACAGTGGGGAGAGAGGAGAGTGGAGTTTGTTCAACTTCTACTAACTAATTAAGAGAGCAGGATTTTGTTTGATGTACAAAATTAACTGCAGTGAAAACTTATTTGGGACGTTAAGGGACAACTGGTTCAATTAAACAAGTGTTAATGAAAGCCATTGTGCAGCCTCTCTCAGACTACCCTGAAAAACTGGAATCAGTGCTTTATACAGAAACAGAACTGGTTTATGTATGACTTGTGTTGGCATGGAGTTAGTTAAACAAAACCACCCAAACAGATACATGGGACCTTCTATCCCAAAAGTAGATGGCAAAACAGTAGCTCCTGAAGTATTTTTTAAACTACTTCTTCTATTCACCTAGTTGTTTGGGGATCCTATTGACACACACCTGCTAAATGTACTGCATGAAATCCTCCTCCCTTTGAAGTCATCAATCAGCAAAACTCCTCCTGACTTCAATGGAGCTAGGATTTTATCCTCTAGGTGTTGCACATTATTTTAGCTGTTATGAAAGATATGAAATCATGTTTTCTTCCAAAAGTTATGATCTTTCTTGCAATGTCAAAACACATACCAGGCTGAGGGCTGCTCTTATGCTTTTGGACTTTTTCCTTTTTAAATTTTGGCACTATGCGAAACACTGTACTTCTGTTGTTTCTCTTAGAATAATCCAGAGGGGGATCCTGCATGGAAAAAGAGGAAAACAACCACTAAACTTTAAAAATGCCTCACATGATGATGGGGAATTCTAATTTACTCTTGTCTAGTGAAGTAAAATTATGTTCACTTAGAAGTAATCACCTGACCTACCTCATCATCATTTGGCTGGAAAACATAATAAAGCCATGGAATCTCAGCAAGTTTTCTCAATTCAATCTCCACACTGTGTAATGCATCAGACAGCAGCTCTTCATGGGGAGGATCCAATTGCTATTTATGAACAAACCAGAAAAAGAATGTTAAATGGCTGCCTTATACTGAAAGTAAACAAATGGGGGATTTCTTACCCCATTTAATTTCCCTGCGCATGCATTTCACCATTCTAGAGACTGCATTTGGGTTGGTCCTAACTACAAGAATGACAAACAGCTAAAACTTTGGTGTGTGCCCACCTATCTATTTCTGCCATCACTCATCGTACTCCAGAAATATAAATGGAGATTTAAAGCACAAGGGAGAGTCTCCCAAACTAATGGATGTACAAACCCAGAGAATCCAAATGTACAGTAAGAAATTCCTAGTCTTGTGGCCTTCTACCTCTATCAGTCCAGAAGCACAACTGGTAATCAGCACAGTGCCAAATGTAGAAATATTAATATTTTGTGCTTTTCCCAATTCTGCTATAAGCTCATAGTTGTATGCTCTCATTGCTGGACTATGATGTCACGTAACAATGGAGGTAAGAATTTTTAAAAGGCCAGTGGCCTGGAGAAAACTTAGATAAAAAACAGTATCAGAGAAAACAAGTGTAACTTATAGTGTCAGGAAGCCCAAGGTTGCCATTCCTCAAATTTTTTCATGTGATGCACAGCTCTTCTCTGGTTAGGAGGTAGAAATGGAATGGGTGGAGTAACCAGGCCATGAAGGCCTTTCCAAGATTTCAAAGTCCCTTTAATAGACTAAGCAAAGAATTAACAACTAGGACAGGGGTCAGCAACCTTTGAGAAGCAATGTGCCAAGTCTTCATTAATTCAAGGTTTCGCGTGCCAGTAATAAAATTTACATTTACAGGAACCCCCGAGGGAACCCCAGACTGGCAGCAGGCTGAGCGGGGCCGGCAGCCAGGACCCCGGCTGGGAGGGGTCTGGGTGGCTGGAACCCCAGACTAGCAGCAAGGTGAACAGAACCCCAGGCCGGCAGCGGGCTGAGCGGGGGTCAATGGCTGGGACCCTGGCTGTCAGCAAAGTGCCAGTAAAAATCGGCTCGCATGCCGCCTTTGGCACACATGCCACAGGTTGCTGACCTCTGAGCTAGGAATTCCCAAATTCTAATCCCAGCTCTCACAGTGACTCACACTGTCTCTCTGGAATGAGCAGGGGGAAAAGTAGGTATGTTGGGGTCAGAAATAGTAACTAGCCCTTTGACAGCCCACTTAATCAATTGCTCTAAAAAAAAAGAAAGATAAAAATCGTTATCCCCTTTTGCAAATAAGGAAAAAAGAGGTGTGCAAGAAGGCATCTTTGTTTTGCTGAAACCAAAAAAAAATCCATACCGAATTCCACATTCAGGTTATTTTGAAAATGACCACCAAAATTAGTACAATTGCTCCCATTTGAAAATGAATGTAATATCCACTAATAATTTATTTTATACTCCTTCCACATTTTCAGTCTTCAGTATGCCATAGAGTTTTGTACTGAAATGTAGCACTGCATAGAAGTTGTAATGGAGGAAGCTGGAAATATCAGCTGAGACTTTTGGCACCAGGAAAGGGGTTAGTGGTCATTTGTGGTATGGGATAAGCACAATAGCTGGATATTTCTGCTAAAAAGAGCCATCATGTTGAAATTTTAATTTGCCATCATGAGGTTTCAAGGTAAACACCCCCACTGAGATCGATGGGACCATTCACATTTCTCAGAGATACAGTTTAGGGTTGGGAGCAGACTCAAGCAGACACATGGCATCAGTTTAAACTGCCATTACATTTTCAAAATTTCAAATTTAATTTTCATAATTCAGAGGACTTGAAAGTTCATTATATTTTCTATTGAAATGAAAGCATAGATTCGAGGGCACAGTTCTGCATCGAAAGGTTGGATTCTGTGTCAAATTCTGCAGAGTTACAGAATACATGGTATCCTGGATTTGATTTCAAGAGTCCATTTGTCTGTGGCCAAGACAGTCCAGAGTGGTGCTCCTGCAGACTTTATCTGTGGGGTTGGACCTGCTGGATAGCAAAGATTTACACGGTTGTTGAAAGGGCTTTTGATCTCTAGTTCTGGAGAATTTTTTTTTTTTTTGAGATATCTTGGAAGGTAGAATTTAATTACAGGTATAGTAAAATACTTTCTTCCTTCCTGCCATTTCTTCCTTCCTGCCATTGGAAATCTTAGTTTTCCCTTGTTATGGGATTTTTTAAAGGGAATATTTTAAAGAAGTTTCTAAGATTTATGGAGAAAATACAAGAGTCACAGCAGCCTTAATTCCCCCCCCTCAGGCTACTTGAGGTTCTCTGAGCTGCACAGTGGTGTTTGGGAGAGGTTTGGAGTGTGGGCATAGATAACAACGAAGCCTCTCTCTTTCCACTGAGGAAGACATCACTTTAGAATGTTTTCATTTTCTGGATTATTCTGTTTTTGATTTATTCTTCTCAGGGGAAGATGAAAGAAGTGGACCAGTCCAAATGGTATGTGTTTCCTCAGATGGCACCTATCTACGGTCTCACAAAGAGTCTCAGAGAATTACATTTTGGCAGTGGAAAATCAATTAATTCTGAACTTATGGTGAGAAAGTGCACTAAGGGCTTGATCCTGCTCCCACTGAAATCAATGTTGAAACTCCAGCAGAGATAAGAGAATTGACCAATTTAGTGCAAGATCTCTTCTCTGCATGTCGAACAGACCATGAAGTCTTAGAACCTCACTGTTTCTAATGGAAAGATTAGCCCAGCGAATTAGAGTCGGACTTGTCAATTAGATCTTCTTAGTAGGGAGATGAGAAGTTTGAGATGGAAGGAGCAACACTGGTGGAGACAACCCCAGCTGCCTCCTCCCCTTCCCAAAAAAGATCAACAGGCAGTACAGGCAATGATGGCATCAACTGCATGGCTGTCAGGAGCACTGGGCGCAGAAAAGGGGAGTGTGGAAGGAATGGAGAGATGAAAAGAGGTAAAAATAAGGAAGGAGCAAATTAAGAGATCTGCTTCTTTGTCAGGGGAGACGGTTAAACTGGAGTATGGTGCGTGACTGGCAGTTTAAGTAACACCAAACGTTTCAGCTGTATCCATCATCTCCATGGGTCGGCCCAACCTACATGTTGTTTCAGCACTGATGGAAGTACAAGCCAACAAGACTGTCCAAGACTAAGTTTTACTGCTGATTCACAAATGAGAGTTCTGGGTATCTCTAAAGTCAACATGCGGACTGACACAGAAGATATATTGATATCAGATAACAGCCTTGTTTAAAAAAAAATGGTTTGGCACAGATACTCTAAGAGTAAGGTTGCTCCCTCTATTGGCTGAAAAATGAGGGGTGTCAGTGTGTATGATTTCCTAATTTAATCAGGTCCTATCATCCCTTGATACACTTTTAGTACAGCATCCCAATCATCATCTGAAGACTGTTCGACGAAATTCCTTACCCCAAACATTTTTAAATCCAAATATTGCATTCTTGCCTTCACATTAACATACAGGAATTTGAAATCTCAGCAGATTTCTTCCCCTATATTTGATAAATTTATCTAAAGAGCTTTGTTCCCTTCCTAAAGTTAAATAAAACAGAGCATGTGCCTAACATGTTAATACTTCTAGAAGTGAACTGCTGACAGAGTCTTCAGATGGCAATGACTTTTAGTCACTATGGAAATAGAGTGGATTTGTACCATTTATTTAGGATGTGAAAGGGTCTTTATCTTAATATCATGCCTTTCAGACTCAAGTCCCTCTACAGGAAAATATTCCAATCAATATCCATTTGTAATTATCACACACTTAGGGTAATTAATAAAATATTAATAAATTTTCTCCTGAATCTGAAGACTAAAGGCATGGAACAGACACAACCATTCCTACTTAGTGTATCAACTGATAGAAAAGCATGAGGAACCCTATCAAATGTACCAATTTCTAACTGTATGTCCAGAGCACAATGTGTTATTATTGAAGAACTTTACTACTTTTAGATCCACACACAAGCAACCAAGGGAAGAGATACAATGACTTTCAATGCCAACAAAACTCTACTGGACACTCACCAATTAACAAGGGTTTAGGAAGAGAAACTAATGCCTGCCATGCTGCAGGTGAATGGAGAACTAGGAGAACAATTTCATAACCCATTTCAACTCAGATAATAGGTGTAGTATAAAATCCTCTGATCCAGCCTTTTAAAGGTTCTGAGGTATAGTATTTCATTGCACTATAACCCTATGGTGCTCTTACACAGTGACAAGTTACACAAGATGTTTATGAGTAAACAGATTAAACATTTATTTTATCTTCTTACCAAAGGAACCCTTCCTACTAGAAGAGATTCAGTTTCATTATGTAGTGCCTTCACATTGACAGCTATTTCAATGGCAGTATTTCTGGTAAGACTCTGGGGAATAGAAGCAGAACAGTCAAATAAGTTAAACTGTGAGCACAAGTACATTGAGTTTACAATCCCAACCTTAGGCAGTTTTTCCGAAAGGAACCAGCTTGATTCAGCTCTGCTTGACAAGTTTATTCTACCAGACCAAAGGGAATAAGATATAGAGCAATGTACATAGGCCAAAATCTGATCTCAGATGCATCTGTATAACTACCACTGAAGCTTGTGGGAATTTCACCTGTTTATTTAGGGGCAGAACAGACTGTATTAGTTTATGTAAGCATCCAGAATGGAATGGCGGGGGGAAATGTACTGTATCTTTGCTGGCTGGTTTTCACCTGACTCGGTTTACTGAGGTCTCAGATGTACTAGAGCACCAAGTGACCAGCCGCATGTTCTTTATGACTGGTTAAGGGCCACTAGAGAAACTCTGGGCCTTTTATTAACAAGGATTGTTAATGAGGGTTGTTCACATCACCCTTGAGGGAGGCAAGCTGCCACACTTTAACAAGCAGTGGTTAGCCTGCATAGTTACTATGGTGATGAGGGCTTAAATAGATTAGGTTAGGTTAGACAAAATTAGACCGACAAACTCATGTCCATGAAATCAGATTAGTGCCCAGATCTTGCAAAAGCTCAAATTGTGGGGGTTGGGCTAGGAGATAAGGAGCTCAGTTCTGCTCCTGCTGAAATTCTCCCATTAGCACCATGTCCTCCATTAAGGTGTGTGTGCGCATCTGTGTGAGTGTGCCCATGTGACTGTACCTGGGTGTAGTTCTTTGTCCATCTCCCAACACTCTGAGTCATGCCCTTAATGCGATGCTCTGCCTTGCCCCTGTATCTTCCTTTGCCCCGTTCACACACACCCCTATTTCCAATATACGTAATGTCCCACTCCCACTTAGGTCCAGTCGCCACAAAAGGGAATGTTTTTCTACCCAGCAGTACCTTCCTCCTCCCCAGTGGGAGCTGTCAAGTACCCTCTACCTCAGGGGGTCAGCAACCTTTGAGAAGTGGCGTGCCAAGTCTTATTAATTTAAGGTTCCGCGTTCCAGTAATAAATGTTACATTTACAAGGCCCCCCCGACAGAACCCCAGACTGGCAGCCCACTGAGCCGCTCAGCCCGCTGCCAGTCTGAGGTTCCGTCCACTGGCCACTAGAAATCAGCTTGCGTGCCGCAGGTTGCTGAGCCCTGCTCTACCTCTTCCAATGTGCTCCAGGTCTGCGGGGAAGGGAGTCTTTCTCCCCTTTCCTCTTCCCTTTGGTTGCCCCTGCTGGTGCTGCCTCGGCCTTTCAAACTCACTGCAGTAGAGTCTCAGCAGAGCCCATCAGCTATTAAGTGGCCCAACAAGCGTAAGAAGGGGGCGCTGAGGCTGCTGCTGCAGGGGCAGGAGAAAAGGCATTGTTGGTTTCCTCCCCATCCCATTGGGTGGTTGTGCCTATGTCACACTCTTAAAGTTAAGCACGTTTGCAGGATCAGGAGCCTTGTATATCAATAACCTCAGCAGTTAACATATTAGCCATTGGAAAATGGTGACTGGGACTATAGGACTACTCCGGTGTCTCCAGAAACACTTCTGCACACAGGGGCTACAGTTGATTTATAATTAAATAAGGCTCTGTTGTTCCTTTACCTCAGGAAACCTTGGATTGGCTTTATTTAATGCATGTGAACACGCATTGACAGCATGAGCCAGCTCCTGTTCCAACAGGTTGTGTATTTTTGCGGCTTCACAGATTCTACAAAAATATGAAAAACAGGAAAGGTACTTTGCCACTTTCTTTTACATCCAGTTAAAATGTGATTGAAATTAAAAAACATTGGCGGATGGAAAAGAAATATTTCACAGAACATTTACACAAGCTGTACCAGCTGTACTAAGCATATTGCTTTGTATCTAAAGCTTAAATATAAGTATCACCTTAGACAACAAAGAACTTTTCTCTCTTGTCTAAATGACATTCTTAATACAGAAGATCTGCTCTGATATGAGGGCTTGAGGAACGTTTATTGTCTTAACTGGCATGTCATCCGACCAGCAATGGGTACATATAGATTATACGGATTAAACCAGGAATATTCATTCACATAATTCATACCAGAAACACATTTTGAAGAGAATTATTATGGTGGTGTCATGTGACAGTCTGTATACCCTGTTAGTGATGCGTAATAATACATGCAACATAAAACTGAACTTGACCACTTGTGATCATTAAAATTCCAGTGCAACTTACAATCTAAGTACAATTTTTTACAACAGTAAAGGTATTAACCTGTGACCTGGCTACATTTCATTTTGGATAATTATATTTCATTATGCCTACATAAATTCCCCCTTTCTGCCTACCTGAATCATCCCTGCAATTTAAACTGAATATGCTGTTCTATAATTCCTGTCCTAAACTTGTTCAGTTAAACAGTTGCTCTGGTGCATGAAATGATTTTTATATTATAGCATTTGTGACAGTGAGCACCATAATACAGTCCACTGTAAACTGGTATTTTCACTTGTTCATAATGGTCTCAAAAACATTTTTTAAACTGAAAATATCTATGTTTGTCTCTGCCCAAAGGTGAATGTTTAAAAAACATATACAAGACTGGTTCGGCGATTTTTCAGGTTGAGATTGATGGGTTGACAGGAGGGAGGGTAAAAATTCCACACACACCTGTTGCAACTGAAATTTTGCGCTCACACAACTCAGATGGCGCTAGTTAGAAACATCAAATCCTAGACATTGCTGAGCCAGGAAAAGCAATCCAAGTTTGAAGACAATCCCTGTTCTAAAATTATGAAGGTCTGAAAACGGTGTGTGTGTCTACATGTGTGTGATAAAACATTTTTTATTTAAAATATAAGACCACCAAAAAGCTGATCTGTGTTAGTATTTTGAGAGGGTGCTGGAATATTTTAGCATGAAGGTGTCCTTAAGTTGCTGGAGGCTGTCTGATTTAGGACCACAGCTCTAAAAGGATTTAGCATGATGCAGCGGACAAAGTCAGGAGGACAAGGACTCTATTCCCAGCTCCATCACTTGACTCAGAGTGTGCCCTTGTGCAAGTCACTTATTTTTCTGTACCTCAGTTTCCAACTGTAAAATGGAGAGGATGCTGCTCATCTTTGTAAAGCATATGGTGATTTACAGTTGAACAGTGCTTTACAACTGCCACATATTTTCACAAAGTTATTTTGTGCTTCCTATCAGCAGCAGCAAAATGGTGGCTCTAAGACCGAGATGTCAGGTCTTCAGACTGCTTCTCCAAGCAGCAGCCTAGCTCCCAGCAAATGGAGAGAAGGGTGGGGCCACCATCATCACATTGTATGCCAGGGAAGGAATAATGATGAAGCTGCAGGGACATTGCCTGACATCTGTCCTCAGTGCACATTGTGGGGAACAGAGGGGAGTATGAAGAAGGGACTGGAAACACAGGGGTCTGTCTGTGGGGAGTCATGTGCTGAACTCAGAGATATTCTCTACACCTTTCTAGGCAAGAGTTCTTCCTACAACACAGAAAGCCAGTGAAAATGCAGGAGGGGTACGACAAGGCTGAAGCAGTGAAAACAGCCAGTGAAAGGTAATGAACTAAGAACAAGAATTTCTGCTACAAGCTGGTGGCTCAGCAGTGGGAAATGAAAGAAGAGAAAGACCTGGGTGTATTTGTCAATCAGACATGACTAGGAGCCAGCAAAGTGATGTAGACATAAAAAAGGCAAATGCTATCTAGGATGATTCAGATGAGGTATTTCTAGTAGAGATAGTGAATTATTAAGGCTATCGTATAAGGCACTTCTAAGACTTCATTTGGAATATAGTGTACAATTCTGATCATCCATGCTCAAGAAAGATAAATTGAAACTGGAACAGGAGCAGCACAGAGCTACTTGGTTGATCAGGGGAATAGAAAGCCTAATTAAGAGAGGAGACTAAAAGACCATAGCTTGTTTGGTCTAGCAAAATGAAGGCTGAGGGGGGATATGACTGCTCCTTATAAATACATCAGTAGGGTAAACACCAGGGAGGAAGAAGAGTTATTTAAACTAAGGGAGAACATTGGCATAAGAACAAATGGGCCATGAATAAATTTAGGCTGGAAATCAGAAGAAGGTTTCTAACCAACAAAGAAGTGAAGTTTTAAGATGGAGCTTGATAAATTTATGGATGAGATTGTATGATGGCATGCTGTGATAGCAAGGGACTGGACTTGATTACCTAGGAGATCCCTTCCAATCTGTGTCCCATGTTTCTCTGAAACATTCAGTAAACTGACTTAAAAATGAGTGAGTGGCTTTGCTTGCAGTACACGCAAAACAAATACTTTTATAAAAACAAACATTTGCTTCTTTGAAAGCATAGGGCCTTTATTTTAAAAAAAAGCATAAGGAGTTCTTAGTGGGCCTTTTCGCTGTTTTTCAAGGGGTGTCTCATGTAAAAATAAAAGAGCTTTGCAAGTTGCCTGGAAAAAGATGAGTGGTGATTTGGGGGATTAAAATGTTTTATAAGCTTTGCTGGTGGCTTTTAAAAATGTTTGTGACTCAATAAAAACATACTTTTCTTTGAAAAAGTGGGGTATTTCTGTGAAAACTGAATTTTCACCTTCTTAAATTTTTTTTGCATTTTAGGGGGAAACGGTTTCTGGGGTGAGTGGGAGAGCAGAATCAGTTCCGGTTAGGCATATCCCTAACAGCCAAAAATAATTTTTTGGATGCATTACTCAAGATTTGGAAAATATTGAAACCAACAAACTCCAAACTGACATTACCACACTTCTAAATAAAGTGTGGCTCTTGTGTACCTTGGTTGATTCAATGGATGGAATTCCTCTGCCACATAGAGGAAATGATTTGGAGCGCGACACAGAGGGCTTGTCTACTTGGGGACACTCAGAAGGTTAATCTTAATTAACTTTTAATGTGGATTAGTTAAACCACATTAAATCCATGTGGATGCTCTTACTAAAGTGTCCTTAATTCAATTTAGCTTAATTCACTTCCAAAGTGAATTACACTGAACCAAATTAAGGCAACTTTCATTTTGAATAAGAGCATCCACACCATGTTTTAATACAGTTTAACTAATTTACTTTAAATTCACACCTTTAGTTAATTCAGATTAATTTTCCTCAGTGGCCCCAAGTAGACGAGCCCTGAGAAGGCAAAAGAATTGGATGCATCATTTGAATTCCTGAGACAAGAAAGCAAAAAGGGATTAGTTTGTGTTTGATTATGAATAGAAGGATGGGAAAGCGTATGAGCCAAAATTTAAATTCAAAGTGGATTTCTTTAGTATGTCGCTGGATACAACACTGGTTTCATACAGCTTGGAGTTTTCAAATTAATAGCTGAAACAAATCATTCCAGCTTGTAACTGATTTGGAACTTTATGCTGATTTGGAATGGGGAAAGGAACAGCAAAGCCTTGCTGAAATGATACAAACCACTAGAAATTCTTCACTGTTCTAGTGAAGAAAAGATTTCAGCAGATCAAACCCTGGTCTACGCTGGGGGGTGGGGTGGGGGAATCTATCTAAATTACGCAACTTCACCTATGTGAATAATGTAGCTGAAGTCGACGTACTTAGATCGACTTACTGTGGTGTCTCTACCACGGTGAGTCTACTCTGCCTGCACCTCTCGCGGCGCTGGAGTACAGGAGTCGATGGGAGAGTGCTTGGGGGTCGATTTATCGCATCTAGACTAGACGGGATAAATCAATCCCTGCTGGATCGATCGCTGCCCGCGGATCCGGTGGGTAGTGAAGACATACCCTTAGCCACACATGAGCCCCTAAAGGGCAAAACTTCAACTGATCAACAGTCAAGAGACCCTTGGGACTTGCAGCAGAATGTGAACTCTCATAACAATGAATATGTAAACAAAAAGGTAAGAAGGGTCTATCGGACAATTAGACTTGCTTAGACTTTGTTCCTGCAAATATTTAATTGTTCAGTAGTTTAAGAGTTAAGACTGTGCTTATGTTAAAAAATTGTTTATAAAAGCAGAAACTGTGCTGTGCATTTTCATTAATGCAAATAATTGGGTGATTGGGGAACACAAATTTTTTTGTGATGGGGTAAGGAATAGGAGTCAATAGAAATAAAAGTTTGGTAGATGGAAGGATGGAGGAAAAACCTGAGAAAAAATGTTAAGGATTGAACACCCATGTCTAAGGTTAAGGATTGAACACATGAGGAGCCGCAAGATATCAGAGATTAAAACCCTTTGTATTTTATGCACAGAAGAACTGTTCATAGATTCAGAGATCACACTAAGAGGCTGTTACTGGCTCAGGATTGAATTCTTTCCCAGGACAGGCATAATTTCGGGGGGAAATTCCACATCTGAGGGGAGAAGGAAGAAACTTTTCTGCGGCTTGTGGATTTTCTTTTAAATCGTGGATTTTTTAAGACGAGGTGGTTATTGGCATGTGTTTAATGTATTGTTCTGTTTATCACATCGATGTCACCTCCACGTATGCACTGTATGTGTTTATTTTTATACATTTCTCACATGCACAGTTAGGATGTGTTTTGGGTTTAAATGTAACATTTTGGTGACCTCCAATTCAATCCAGTAACAATAGTATATTTTTAACTTTAATGTATCACTTATTCTTAGGGCTGTCAATTAATCGCAGTTAACTCATGAGATTAACTAAAAAAAGTAATCACGGTTAAAAAAATTAATTGTGATTAATCGCACTTATAACAATAGAATACCAATTGAAATTTTGAAATTTATTAAATATTTTTAAATAATTGAAATTTATTAAATATTTTTGGATGTTTTTCACATTTTCAATATTGATTTCAATTATAACACAGAATACAAAGTGCACAGTTCTCACTTTATATTAATATTTGTTATTACAAATATATGCACTGAAAAAAGGATAAACAAAAGAAATAGTATTTTTCAATTCACTTCATACAAGTGCGGAAGTGCAGTCTCTTTATCGTGAAAGTGTAACTTATAATTGCAGATTTTTTTTTGGTTACATAACTGCACTTAAAAACAAAACAGTGTAAAACTTTAGAGCCTACAAGTCCACTCAGTCCTACTTAAAAAGAAAAGGAGTACTTGTGGCACCTTAGAGACTAACCAATTTATTTGAGCATAAGCTTTCGTGAGCGACAGCTCACTTCATCGGATGCATACTGTGGAAAATACGCTGTAGCTCACGAAAGCTAATGTTCAAATAAATTGGTTAGTCTCTAAGGTGCCACAAGTACTCTTTTTCTTTTTGCGAATACAGACTAACACGGCTGTTACTCTGAAACCTGTCAGTCCTACTTCTTATTCTGCCAATCTCTAAAACAAACAAGTTTGTTTACATTGATGGGAGATACTGCTGCCTGCTTCTTATTTACAATGTCACCTGAAAGTGAGAACAGGCATTTGCATGGCACTTTTGTAGCCGATGTTGCAAGGTATTTACATGCCACATATGTCGTTTGCCCCTTCCATGCTTCGGCCACCATTCCAGAGGACATGCTTCCATGTGATGATGCTTGTTAAAAATAACAATGAAATGTGTGACTGTACTCTTTGAGGGGAGAACTGTATGTCTCCTGCTCGGTTTTACCTGCATTCTGCATATATTTCATGTTATAGCAATCTCGGATGATGACCCAGCACATGTTCGTTTTAAGAACACTTTCACAGCAGGTTTGACAAAACGCAAAAAAGGTACCGATGTGAGATTTCTAAAAATAGCTATAGCACTCGACCCAAGGTTTAAGAATCTGAAGTGCATCTAAAATCTGAGAGGGACAAGGTGTGGAGCATGCTTTTAGAAGTCTTAAAAGAGCAACGCTATGATGCGGAAACTACAGAACTCAAACCACCAATAAAGAAAATCAACCTTCTGGCTGGTGGCATCTGACTCAGATGATGAAAATGAACATGCATCAATCCATACTGCTTTGGATCGTTATCAAGCAGAACTCGTCATCAGCATGGAAGCATATCCTCTGGAACGATGACTGAAGCATGAAGGGACATATGAATCTTTAGCACATCTGGTATGTAAATATCTTGCAACGCCAGCTACAACAGTGCCATGTGAATGCCCGTTCTCATTTTCAGGTGACATTGTAAACAAGAAGCAGGCAGCATTATTTCCTGCAAATTTTAACCAACCTTGTTTGTCTGAGTGATTGGCTGACCAAGAAGAAGGACTGAGTGGACTTGTAGGCTCTAAAGTTTTACATTGTTTTATTTTTGAATGCAGTTTTTTTTTTTACATAATTCTACATTTGTAAGTTCAACTTTCATGATGAATAGATTGCACTACAGCACTTGTATGAGGTGAATTGAAAAATACTATTTCTTTTGTTTTTTACAGTGCAAATATTTGTAATAAAAATAAATATAAAATGAGCACTGTACACTCTGTATTCTGTGTTGTAATTGAAATTATTATATTTGAAAATGTAGTAAACATCCAAAAATATTTAAAATAAATGGTATTCTATTGTTAACAGCACGATTAATCACAATGAATTTTTTTATCACGCGATTAATCATGATTCATTTTTTTAATCGCTTGACAGCCCTATTTATTATTAATAGTTAGGCATAAGAAAGATAATCATTTTCATTTGCTGATCATAAATATGGAGCCAAATATAACATGAATAGATTCTGTGCATTTATAATTTTTCCATCACTTGTTACCTCTCTCTCATTAATTTTAACACAGTTACCCACTAGATAACTATTGGGTTTGTATATTAAAGCTATGTTCTTATGATCTCATCTAGTCCAAATAAAGAAAAGAGATGAGTACCACTTTTTATTGTACTTTCTATCTCTGAGAAATGGTACAGCTATGAGTTTAAAACAGTGATATTTGAAGAAGAAGTTATATGGCTAAACCTACTTTGATTATCAGAAAATAAAATATCAAAGTGTGTATTGTTTTATGTATGCAACAGGCCCAAATTAACAATTTTTGGTCAAAATTGTTTTTTGACATAAAATTATATTTTCGACTACACTAGTATTTTTCTGAAACGTGTCTGCTTTCTGCAAAACTGCTGAGTTTTCATCAAAAACGCTCTGGACAAACACTGAAAACATTCAGTTTTTGGCAGAAAATGTTTGATTTATCAACACAAAGTCAAAAATTTTCATGGGAGAAAACAATATTTGCTGATCTGCTATAGCAGTGGTTCTCAAAGATGGTCCGCCACTTGTTCGGGGAAAGCCCCTGGCGGGCCGGGCTGGTTTGTTTACCAGCCGCGTCCGCAGGTTCAGCCGATCACGGCTCCCACTGGCTGCGATTTGCCGCTCCAGGCCAATGGGGGCTGCGGGAAGGGCGGCCAGCACATCCCTTGGCCCGCATCACTTTCCACAGGCCCCACTGGCCTGGAGCGGCGAACTTCAGCCAGTGGGAGGCGCGATAGGCCGAACCTGCGGACGCAGCAGGTAAACAAAGCAGCCCGGCCCACCAGAGGCTTTCTCTGAACAAGCGGCAGACCGGCTTTGAAAACCAGTGCGCTATAGTATATAAAATAGACTTTTAAAAATACTGATACTGTGATAATAAATCTTCAGTCAGAATATAGAAATACCCTCAGTTTTATAAATAATTTTACCGTGGGGAGTATGCTACTATTCCATTAAACCCATTTGTTCTACTGTACCTGGTAATAAGTTCTTCTGCGGCTTGTGAACACAGCTGGATCTGTGCAACTTCTTCTTCCGTAGCCAACTCAACAGCCTGTTGAGGGTACAAGTGAGATCGGAGGACAGGTTTGCAGGAATCATACTTCTGTTTGTCTTCCCAAGACTTTAGGGTATTTTCAAAAGCCTGATGAAAATGGTATGCTACATTAGCTGACAGTACTTGCAGTTTTTTAATTAAGCTTATTAGGCACACAGATTGGTACATCATTTTACATAAATATTACAAATACTCCACATTATAAATGGTGTTTGAAATTACTTTAAAACTAAAGTACTTTAAAACTAAATTCAAAGAACAACAGTTACTTCTGTGAGTAACCTCTCTCTCCCCGTCCTCTGTAAAATATGCTGTTAGTTAGAGACACATTTACATGAACACATTACTGTAGGCATACTTTGTCAGGACAAGATGTTCTGAACCTTCTGCTGAGCACAGTGGGAATCTAACAGTCATGCAGAGTCCAAACATGAAAACAAGGAAAAAAAATGCCCTAACAAACTTTCTTTAAACAACAAAACAGCTACCATAACACAAGCCATGATGCAGGGAGAGGACTGAATTTAGCATCCACTCAGGCCAACGGACTGAGGAACTATGGGGAAGTTGAGAGTGTTTACCCCGGGGAGGGCAAACTACGTCCCACGGGCTGGATTCAGCCCGTCAGGGCTTTCAATCCGTCCTGCAGGATTGCTAGCCCTGTGGCGCAGCGGGACTAAGGCAGGCTCCCTGCCTGCCCTAGCCCTGCGTGGCTCCCGGAAGTGGCCGCACCACGTCCCTGCAGCCCCTGGGGGGTGGGGAGGAGGGCGGGAGGTCTCCGTGTGCTGCCCTTGCCTGCAGGCACCGCCCCCCGCAGCTCCCATTGGCCGGGAATGGGGAACCGTGGCCGATGGGAGCTTCAGGGTTGGTACCTATAGGCGAGGGCAGCACACAGCAGAGCCGCCTACCCCACCCCACGAGCCACTGCCGGACATGCTGGCCACTTCCAGGAGTGGAGTGGGGCCAGGGCAGGTAGGGAGCTTGCCTTAGCCCCGCTGCGCGCTTCTGCCACCCCGGAGCCGCTCGAGGTAAACGGTGCTGGGCCAGAGCCTGCACCCTGAAATCTTCCTGCACCCTGCACCCCAACCCCCTGCCTGAGACCCCTGCTGCACCCCGCACCGCCTCCTACACCTCAAACCCCTTCCCAGTCCTACATTCAGGGCCCTACATACAATTTCCCCACGCAGATGTGGCCCCTGAGCCAGAAAGTTTGCCCACCTCTGGTTTACACCCTTGATTCTAGAGTGCTAGAATAGCGCACATGCCCCCAAGAGGCGAACTGGTTTGAAATAGGTTCTGTTACTATTTGGGAGGGCATGCAATCTTGCTGTGGCAGTCATGAAGGAGGCACGTTGTATACCTTACTACGTACGTAACTGCAACTAAAACTTCCAATTTATGATAAAGTACAAAGCTAGTGTCTGAAAGAGAAAGTACATTATAGTCACTAATTCTCTTTTATGTTTATACAAAAGTATACATAGTACTACAGGCAAAGACAGATAATCAGAACGTTTCCTCCTGGAAGTTTGAGGATTTCATCTTATCAAAAAAAGATGAGAGTTAAGCTATTTGTGTACAAGAACATATCTGTACCAACCTTTTATTTATTATTTCATAAGCTATTTTCTCTTTTTATAACTGAACCAAGTTGTTATAATAATGGCACTAATGAAGCATCCCATATAAAAGATAAAATGCTTTCTGTAACTTACTCTGTCTCGTGTTAGCATCTGAGCTCTGTTTTTATGCACAATTTTAATAACTCCTGGAGGCTGGATCCATGCCTCTCCGTCTACTTGCACTGGAACCCCTTCATCTCCAAGTATGGTGATCTTTACTGACCGACACTGAAAGAGAGTAAACATGTTATTTCACAGAGTAATATATTAATGAAATTGACAGTCCACCTGCATTAGACTGGTTGTTAGGAGCTGTGGCTTCTATCCAGGTTTGTCTTGAGGGTGAAACACTGTTGTATTTCATTAATCATTTATGATGACTTGTTACCTGTTACAATTAAAACAAAGTCAACATTTTATTAATGTATAATGCAGTAGTTGTCTAGACTACCTCTTTTCTCTGCAGCCTCCCAGCATGCCAGCTATCTTGGTTGCTTTCCAACAAGACACATACCTGAGCTATTCTGTGGTGCTGCAATTTGATGACTCTTGAAACTGCCATCTGCATGCTGCCAAATACCGCAACAACTTCTAAGATTTTGTCATCAAATGATGGTGCTCCAAATATCTGAGAGGAAAAGAAAATATCAATATTAGACTCTAAACTCTTATTGCAATCTACACAGTGCAGGGATTCTGTCTCCTTTTGTGTCTGATGCAATTCCAAACACATGTTAGGTATTTAAATAGTAGAACTAATGTATTTGAAAAATAAAATTCTAGATTCAAGTATATATAAATTATACCATCACTTGAACACAGCAAAGGACTGTCATAACAAGGGTGATTATAATGGCCACAGTATATTATCCATATATAGGGTTGAAAGCCACAGTATATTATCCATATATAGGGTTGGTGGCAGGTTTAAATGCACATACTGAGAAGTGTTAGTCAACTGAAGATTAATGTGGCAAACATTACTATGCTAATCTTCACCTGGTCAATATTTCTGAAGTCCAAGAGTAATTAAGAAGACATTTATTTACTTTAACAGAGCTCAAAAGTGTTTATCTTTCTTTGTCCAGAATTCTCTTTAGACCATCTTCAAAATCTATACGAGTAAATGAAGTGTCAATGCCACTTCATTTAATGCTGAAGAAGAATCTCATTTTATAGCATAAAATTCACCTGTTTTAATAATGAAAACTTTACTTGAACATTCTGTTTTTGTATCAAAATAATGCCCCAATCCAGCATGTATTTAAGTACGTGTCCGTTGACTTCAATTGGACTAATCACAGAGCATAAAAGTTAAGCACATGAGTAAGCATTTGCAGGACCAGGACCTAACATTGAAAGCACATTTTGTAAGTTAGCTTGGCAGTTCCCTAAAATAAAGTCTCTCTCTCTCTAGGATATTATATGACCCTCATCATCAAGAGCATGCAAATGTCTTACACGACTATAGAACAAAAAGATTATTCTTTCCCAGGTGCTTCTCCTTCCTTTTCTATTTCAAGTAACTTTTGATATATCCAGCTTCAGCTTATTTGCCTTTAAGAAAAAAATGAAAGCATTTCTTTCATCCCTGAAATTATTCTTTAAAAAGCAGAGATGAAATGATTATGCTGTTTCAAAGCATGGAACAATTATCTATGAGGGTTTAACTTTTCTTCTCTATGATTCAGACCAGCCTACCACTTTTTAAAAGAAAAATTCAGATATTAAATACGATGAATTAACTGAAGAAACAATCTTTTGGAGATACTGAATAATTTAATGTGATACTTTGTTTATGTTTTTTAACACTTACTAATTTGGTGAATTTTTTGGATTCCTCTTTAACTGGATGAGTCTGTCTTGTTTCTGTTTTTTCCCTTTTAAATTTAAATTGATAGGTGGTGACTAGATAAATTGTCCGTTGCTTATCCAACTGAAGATCAGTGCGAACTTGTCCAAAAGTTCCAAACTGGATCATAGAATGTCAGGGTTGGAAGGGACCTCAGGAGGTCATCTAGTCCAATCCCCTGCTCAAAGCAGGACCAATCCTCAACTAAATCATCCCAGCCAGGCTTTGTCAAGCCTGACTTTAGAAACCTCTAAGGAAGGAGATTCCACCACCTCCCTAGGTAACCCATTCCAGTGTTTCACCACCCTCCTAGTGAAAAAGTTTTTCCTAATATCCAACCTAAAACTCCCCCACTGCAACTTGAGACCACTACTTCTCGTTCTATCATCTGCTACCACTGAGAACAGTCTATATCCATCATCTTTGGAACCCCCTTTTAGGTAGTTGAAAGCAGCTGTCAAATCCAGGATACAGGCTGCTAGGTGTTTCCGGCTTGTCTTGTGAGATTTGTAGGCATTGTATTGGTTGTTTATGTTGCTTTACTCCATACGTTCTTTTTGTTGATGAAAAGCTGATAGGGCCAAAAGTACAGTTTGTTAAAACCTCTACAGCGCAGTTAATCTAATGATCTGCCAGAAATGTACCAAGGCATGATGTCTCATTAATAATTACTGACTCACTGAGTCATGCAAAGAGAGATGTTCCCTTCTTTACTTATATAATGGCAAATACCCATGAAAATGTTGGGTATTCAATTCTGTGCTTGCATGCCTTTTTAGTCTCCTTCTTAGCATAAGCACAACATGCCTCAGGTAGCACATGACCAGAACTCATCACTGAATGTGGTCTGCTGGTTGGATCGTTAGGTTCCCAAGCTTGGGCCTGGTACTGAAGGGGAGTGTGACATGAACACTGATCTATGCCCCAGGCCTTCTTAGTGACATTCCACAAAATGGCATCCTCCATGCAGTGTCACCTGACTTTTTGGACCACATTTGAATTCTGAGGCATTCAATGCCTGCATAGTGTAACACAGATGGCATGCCCCTGCATTTAGAAGGTTTAAACTTTGCTTGTAACCAGTGGATCTGAAATTACTCCAGGATACCACTTTTCCATCCTCCCAGGGACTGGATTACAGCCTACTCACAAGTTGGGATGAATTCCATTCCCCTTGCTTGCTTACAAAAGCCCATTTAGCTTGTGTTTTATCTTTAGTGCAGGGATGGGTGTTGTTATATTCTGGTTTCTCTGCATGTATAATTTACTTGCATAGAATTTCTGTAGCATGCTTTTTTTCAACAACAAAAAAGAAATAACAGTCTTCTAAGAAATCAAATTCAAAGATTAGCATATCCCCTTTTTCCCCCTGGGTTCTATTTCTAATCTCCCTGTTCTTTCCAAACTAACAAACTCCCTGGGATAACTCCGCATATACAAAATTCAGTAAGAGTGTTGTGGCAAACCCCGCCAGGCTCACTGAGCAATATTTTAGGAATAGACATTGCTGTCAAGATGACGACTTTCTTCTGTCCAGATAAGCAGAACCAGCAACCTCTCAAAGACTACAACTAGTATTGCTCTGTTGACCAGTCACCTGAGACAGCACAAAGAGCAGTGAGTTGTGCACCTAACCTCCCACAGAATAAATGTGTCACCTTTTTGACGTTTGATTATGAGTAGCAAAAATATTGCTCCCAAACATACATGTGTGTTGCATACAAATATGATTGCTAGAACAGTTTCCTCTCTTTCTCGACCCTCTGGGGATAAAAGCAGAAATTCCCGAACGTAACCTAGATGAATGTTAGGGAAACTTCCATGCTGCAAATGTGAATATGGAGGCCACCAAAATGCTTGATATCTTCACTCAAATGCAGCTTGAGCTGACTGCCATGCTCAAAAGACATGTAGTATGAATAGGAAAAAGACTCCAAAGAATATGAAATAATGTTTTTGATGAAGAAGGGTGGGGGAAAAGGGTGTGGGATTGTGAACAGTAAGAAAGTTAAGCACTTCGGGGAAAATGTAAGGGATAGTCTATGTTAAAACACAATCTTACTAATAAATCTAATTTTACATGATAATTAAATGTACAAAACCATGTCAAAGCAATGCTGTGATTCAGACTTCACACACACTAAATCAGGAAATTAAAAATTATGGTAATCCCACAGCAATCATACTAGATCTTTTGTGCATAAAGTACACTTCAACAGTAAGAATCCCATCTGGCATACCCTCAAAGCAGTGAAACAGTAGCGTATGTAGTGAAGTGTCTGTGCAGTATAAGGTCTGTCAAGAAAAAAAAAGGACCATTTTGGATCAGTCCATAAGCTTACTGGCAACAATATATACAAGATATAGACACAGAAAAAGGTAATTAAAGGATTCTACAATTTTTAATCCTCTCCTTAGTTAATTTATTCTCAGTCCCCATTTTAAGATTCACCAATCCACCTACAGCTTTTTAAAGAATAGGAGCAAAATGAAGATATAAGCTGTGGGAATGATGCAGCTGGCCAGCTTCCTTTTCTGTTGGATATAGCACACAAAGTGCGTGCACTGGGAAACCTTGATTATAGCAGATCATAAACTAGTACATAAAAGAGGAGAGGAATTGCTATCATTCATCATTGTTTGAAAACGAGTCATGGCTAAAAATTTCATCTTTATAGCCATATATTCTTTGAGTATTGAGCCCTATTTGGAAATTTTGGTGACTTTAAGGGGAAAGGAAAGGAAAGAAAAAATAAATGAAAATCAAAGTGACATATTTTCAGTAAAAATGGAAAAACTTAATGCAAGAGCGCACATATTTCTGAACTGAAATCACCTTACAGAACAACAGCTTCCTGATAGTTATCCAAACTATATACCAGTACTATTACAATTAAATGAGAACAACAATAGTACAAAGTGCTTTTTGTAAATTTTGCTTCAAAGGGTTACTTTTCTTTAATGTTACTTACATCATCCTCTTTGGTTCCACCCCAGAAATTAGTCCCACCAGCATAGCTTGGAATGTTTAGCACAGCTATGCCTTGAAGACTGGGGAGGGGGATGTATTGTCCATCACACTGTAATGCATAAAAACCTATGTGAGAATGTAAAACAAATGACCTGATAAAGTAATCAACCATTTCTAATTCACAAAGCATTTCAACAGAGCCAGCAATGGAAGCTAAAGTCAATATTGCATTAGTAGCTCTATACGAGTCTATTTTCCCTAGGCTGGGAAGTAACTCTACATAAATCTATTCTTCACACACTAATCAAGATTTTTCTTCTTACACTACAAAATATTTGAGCTACAAATATCTGCAACAGCGTCAAAAGGTAACTCTCTCTGTCCCTTCATAGAAATTTGCTCAAGTTCCCAGCAGTAACTTCCCGCATTTATATGTCAATCTCTAACTACTAGGAATTTGGAGGTTTTTTGCATCTTCTCCTGAAGCATATGGAGCTGGCTGCTGCCAATGACAGGATACTGGGCTAGCAGGACTGATCTTGGTGCATATGGTCCAGCATGTCTACTCTCTTCTAACCAGAAATACTACCAACAGCAGATAGCATCTTTTAGTTGCAATTTAGATCTCATCACTAGAAAAATAACTATACTACTGCAGCGCAAAGAGGTCAAATGAGCATACAAAATATTATAAGCATAAATATAAAATGAAAAATTATTAAATTAATGTTTAAACAATGTATAAAATGTTAATAAAATGTAAAAAGCTATGTAAGAATATATAAAAAGAGAAAAACTACTTTCTTAAATAAACTAATACACTGTAGCATTCCATTTGTCAATCACATAATGACAGAAGCCATTGCAGCATATCTACTTGTTAACTCTGGGATAAAATCTAGAAAAAAATTGCTATGAAAAATGAGAAAAAGTACTTATTGTGAGATTTCACTTTAAACATGAGATTTCATTGGATGCTGCCACCTTCACCTCTCATTATTTCAAAAAAGGCATAATTAAGCCACTGGATAATTAGAATCTCACCCTGCAGAGGTATTCATAGTATTGCTAAACTATTATTATTAGGATCTAGCATCCAAAGCATGCTAGATCCTTTCCTAAATATGCAAGAAGACTATTTCCTACTCTGAAATACTTAGGATATAATCAGACAAACAGTGAAAGATGGAGGGAAAGGATTTAACGAACAAGCACAATGAGAAAGGTGGAGTTAACCAAAAGTCCAATTAGTGCTTATATGCTTGGCTTCACTTCTGTATTTGCCTCAGTGCCCTGAACTGTTCATGCCCATTTGCTATCCCAAGATGAAAAGACTTCTTTCACCATTTCCCCTGTACTCTGCATTGTCCACTTCTGACAATTTACAGAAAAACAGCCAGTCAGAAGATACTCATGAAATTCCAAACGTGGAAAGAGTCTCTGGAGTAGTCCCTCTTTCTACATCCCCTATCACCTAAAATACTTAAACAACTCTGGCTGCTGCTGAAAAGTAACCCTGGAGTCAGTGAGAGAACAGTTTTGGAAGTACAACATATTGAACCCACTTCTGAAAAAGTGGCTCAAAATGTATTAGAAATATGCTTAGTAGCACCTGTGATCTCTGGTTTCATATTATTCCACCTTAGCAGCAATTCAAAATATAAAAACTTAAAATATAACAATATCCAAAGTATGGCATGAAATTAATAGATGTGACTGCCACCTGTGAGTTATAGTATATGATTAGTTCTATCTTTTGAAAATGACTAATTTTATTTCACTCTTCAATGCTGTGTATTTTATTACCGCACATAACACAGATCATTTTGTAAGACAATACTAAATATGAAGCTTCCACTGACTTTTTTACTTCCAAAAATATTAAGAAATAATTATGAAAAGGTCAGATTTGAATGCTAAAATATATTTTATTCAAAAGAAATGTTACATTTGCAGGTTCTTAAATTAGAAATCCACCTGGAGCATACATAATGTTCTTTCCTATCATCATCTCACTAACTACAGCACAATTTCTAGATAATTGCTAAATCCTTCGATAATGGAAACTTTCTTCTATAAGACTAAACCTTCTAAAGTGCACTCAAGAGAAAGAGTTATAATAAATTAAAATTATGCCCTCAGGTTAACAGGTATCTTCATATAAATAAAACGAACTTCCAGATAAAATATTTAACACAAAGAAAAAGACAATGCATGTTCTTTCCTTCCCCATCACACTTTGGAAGAAAACTTACGTAACGATTTCCCAGACTTATATCATAGCTAATCTCTTGCTACATATCTGAACTTGTTAAGCATTAATGTTTTCAAGTTCCCAGTATTTTGAAAAAGGCTTAAATTTGGTTTTAGAACTAGAGTAGGAACTAGCCAGATTGAATTGATTTATACATGTATCTGTGTTGTGGCAAGACACAATATCTTGCAACTTCTACACAGCTCCCTCAATATTGGAATTAGGAAAGTCTCTCTAAATGCCCTAGTTCTTTATGTACTACATTCTTTATGTACTACATTCATCTGTCATTTATCATGAAGTCATTTTTAATGATTCTTAAGCCTTCTTTTCCAAGATGTTTATTATGTACTTTGTATAGACATTTAGTCAGTTTCCATACAGGTTAAACCAACGTGATAGGATTAATGATCTTTTTTTCCATAACGTATATATGTTTTTATTGTTGTTCTTGAGATCTATTCTCCATTCAATGTGCCCCCAAAACCTCTTATTGGTGTCAGTGGGAGTTGCATATTGAGAAAACAGATCACTTAGAGTCTACTGTCTCTTTAATTATACAAAAAATAATAGGAGTGACAATGATAAAAGTTATTCAGAAACATTGGACGCCATACTTTTGCAGATTTCAGAATACTTATTGTGTGTCCAAGGATTCACATTGTGATGAACTTCTCATCCATGGCATCTCACAGACTACATTTATGAGGGACAGATTTTTCATAGTTTCACCTAACTTAGGTAAAAAACAAGTGAGATATTTCAAGATGATCCCCATGTTCTGCACTGTAAATTTTAATGGCAAAAACTCATTTAATCTGTAAATAAAATAAATATTACCTCAAGCTGAACTTTTTGTTCTAAGTTCTTATAGGTTCTTTGCAGTAATTCTTTGGTACCAAGCACCCCATACCACATCATGTTCTTTGTCCGGCTTCTGGAAATAAGTAAATAAAAATTCATATACTGAAGCATGCAATTTGTTATGTACCAAAGCTGTGGAAAGAGGCAAAAGTTAAGGATATAAAATAAAGCAAACAGAATAACAACATTAAAAAAATTAAACTCCTCTGCTTTATCACTAAGAACTCCATTACCGGCACTTTTCAGGGTGTTCCTCTCGCTTGTTATTAAATTCTAATGAAATTTTTGCATCTAATCCAATTCCAAAGTAGTTGTTCATGACACATTTTTCTGAATATCCTTCCCTGTGAAAAGAATACATATATGTAAGTATCCAGTTATGAAGTTATCTGAACAATTACTTTAGAGCTTTGAGCTAGATTGTGGCTGGCCCTAGCACAGGACCATGACCGAGGCAGGGTGCAAAACATTTGATTGATTGATCTTAGATACTGATATGGCCCCATCACTCAGTATATGAACACCTCACAAACTTTAATGTATTTAAACTCTCAACACCCCTGGAAGACAGGGAAGTGCTATTATCCCTATTTTACAGATGGCAAACTGAGGCACACAGGAAGTCGGTGATGGAGCAGGAAATTGAGCCCAGATCTCCCAAGTCCTAGGCTGGTGCCATAACCACTGGACCATCCTTCTGCTCTATAGCAGTCACAGGGACCATGGAGTGTAAGTCACCTCAAAAGGATCAGAGAAGAGACAGGGCTTTACCTCCCCAACCCTACCTAGAGGAGCTTGCCCATGATGGAGGAAGTTGCATGCTCCTAAGGTGAAGAGAGAACATGCTTCATGTGTGTATCAAGGAGCTCCACTGGCCACAACGCCTTCCAGTGATCCTGCTGTAGCAATGCGACTCTGCATTGCTTTTAACTCAGGGCCTCTGCCTAAAAGACACCATCTGGCTCTTTGAATTTATTGAGCATTATTATCTATAAAAATTGTGCTTTAAGGCTTGCGTTATTCATTCTAGTAATTACAAAGTACAATTTCCTAAAGAAATGATTAAGGAAAAAAGACTGAACCTCAACACAGTCAATTTGAGAAAACAAGGAGATTTTCTTACAGTGAATCTGGATCAGGGTCAATAAATGGGGTAGCACCAAATGGATCAATGTTTGCAAGTAACATTTTGCTGATAATAGAACTCCCCGCAATGGAGGCAGCTAATCCAGCTCTTAAACCTGAAGGAGAAAACACAGAAACAAAACAATATTAAAAAACAGAGTCACAGCAATATTTTTTTAATGTAACTCATGTAATCCTGAGAGATAGTATTGTCTATAGCCAAGCACAGGATGGACAGGAAGTGCGCTTTCTCAGACAGCTCTGCTACTGCACCTCAGTTCTACCTACATTACCTCGTTCTTCCAGACTTGGCCTCTCTTGAGCAGAAAGCCAACTGAGTTGAATTCTGTGGTGGTTCACTGTCCAGCACTGGAGAAAAACGTCACGATTTCAATCCAAGACTCCGGAGGTGACAGGTTGCACAGTAATTAACTGGCTCACCTAATGCCACTGAAGGTTACCATATTTTTCATCTCTTAGTCCAGTCACCCAGTCTCCAAACTATTTCATTACTTCGGGTTGGTTTTGGGAGGAGTTGGGGATGGGGAGGCGCGCAGGCTTCCAGAGCAGGATCATTGTTCATGCAGCCTGTCATCACATTTAGAATCTTTAAGAAATGCTTAACTCCTTAATTCGGCTTGATAAATGTATGTTCAACAGGGAATTCTTCCCTTGCCACCCTTTTACACAAGAGAACTTCCCTGCAAAATGTGTAAAGCCAGCACTTTGATCTCTTAGACAGGGAGGAAGGGGTTGAAGACGAGAGAAGGACAAAGAGACAGAACAAACAAGTATGGGTGGAAAATGAGGGCAAGGGGAATAGAGAACAGAAAGACAGTGCTGGAAAGAAGAGGGATGGGGAGGAAAGAGAGAGAGAGACAGACAGGTGTAAAAACACAGAAATACAAGTTAAATGAAAATAAATAAGGAAGACAGAAGAGGAGAGGCTGGCAGGGAGAACTTGACTAATGAGCTACGAAACAATTTTTGTTTCTACCATGGGAAAGGTCAGAGCCTGATTAGTTTTGCCTACTGGAAAGTTGGCAACCCTGCCATGCCCATTTTGGTTAATATCAAAGTAACATGCACAGCTGTGTTTAATTAATGCAGATAGAAATTTGCTTTCAAAAACTTTTAGTTAAAGTGATCTACAAACAATACATGCTTAGTTTCAACCTATGTTGTTAATATTGATAATGAAAGTTCATTAAGCCAGTGTTTTAGCAATGCTTTCTGGTATACATTTTTAATTTGGGATGTGTACAGATTTCCTAACTGCTATTGTTGCAAAGTACCTTTTTACAGTTTAATTTATGATATTTTTACTGACAGGTATGTCCCCTTGCATTTAATTCAGTCAAAAGATCATTTCTTACCGAACTCTGGCCCTTAGTCTCTTACTAGGCTAGCATAGCCTTCATCCACTAGGGGATCAAGGTTCCTTTGACTCCACTAATCAGTCAGTAATGGATGATGAACACAGCCCTCCCATTTCTGCTCCTCATTCCCAAACCAAGTGCAATGCTTTTGCAATATATCTGGTGCTCAGGACAGTGACCAGAAGCATTTTCAACTAACATACTTTCTCAATTGTACCACACAAAGAGGTTATGTGTAAAAATTGACTCATTTTTGTAAAGTCTTTGACATCTCTGGGTGGAAGACACTATGTAAGTGCAATGTATTATTATTTAACAACTAATTGTGGCATATAGCACGATACTGAAAGGACTAATAGAGTTCAGAATTATCATTACCTGGGCAGATTATCCTGGTGTTAAGTACAGGGAGGTTTTCTTTGCTGGCTGCCACAGCTGGGGCAGAGAAAGAGCCAGTATGAGAGGGGATGCCCCGACTTGTATGTCGATCTGGAGATTTTGGTGCAGTTTTAACTATGCCAAAAAAAGAAGAAGAAATAACAAAGTTAGAATAAAATATACACTCACACACGAATTGTAGATACAATTGCATATGTGCTTATCTAAGGTTCAGAGCCTCAACATATTGTATAAGCATGAACTATTAATCTAACCCAAGGGTTCTCAGACTTTTGCACTGGTAACCCTTTTCACATTGCAAGCCTCTGAGCGTGACCCCCCTTATACATTAAAAACAATTTTTTATATATTTAAGGTTTCAGAGTATCAGCCGTATTAGTCCGTATTCGCAAAAAGAAAAGGAGTACTTGTGGCACCTTAGAGACTAACCAATTTATTTGAGCATAAGCTTTCGTGACCTACAGCTCACTTCATCGGATGCATACTGTGGAAACTGCAGAAGACATTATATACACAGAGACCATGAAACAATACCTCCTCCCACCCCACTCTCCTGCTGGTAATAGCTTATCTAAAGTGATCACTCTCCTTACAATGTGTATGATAATCAAAGTTTGGGCGGGGGGGGGGCGGAGGGTGAGAAAACCTGGATTTGTGCTGGAAATGGCCCAACTTGATTATCATACACATTGTAAGGAGAGTGATCACTTTAGATAAGATATTACCAGCAGGAGAGTGGGGTGGGAGGAGGTATTGTTTCATGGTCTCTGTGTATATAATGTCTTCTGCAGCTTCCACAGTATGCATCCGATGAAGTGAGCTGTAGCTCACGAAAGCTTATGCTCAAATAAATTGGTTAGTCTCTAAGGTGCCACAAGTACTCCTTTTCTTTATATATTTAACACCATTATAAATGCTGAAGGCAAAGCGGGGTTTGGGGTGAAGGCTGACAGCTCGCGACCCCCCGCATGTAATAACCTCCTGACCCCCCTGAGGGGTCCCGACCTCCAGTTTGAGAACCCCTGATCTAACCTATTAACTCTCTTTGAGATCTCTGGAGAACCGGCAAATATCTGTATTGTTTTGTATGAATATTGTGTGTCCCTCTGTGTGTTTGCTTGTGATGGGTTACTTGCTATGGAGTTAGATCAAAAGGAGTTGTTAAAGAAACCAAGCAGGAAAGATGAAATAATGCCCTAGATAAGAAGCATCCCAGGAAATGTTCAAACACAATAACCAGGAATATAGCTGTGAAGATGTAGCTGTTTTGCCAAGGCTGAGAATCTAGAGATCAAAAGACACACATCTGTTAAAAGATCTGCCCTGCAGAAAGGGAGTGGGGAGAAAAGGTTGTCAGCTGCTACAGACTGACAGAGTCTGGGTCTGCTGAAAGCACAATGTAACTTGGTCCCCAAGAGACTGCAGGACACCACAGCTAAGTCATGTCTACTGAGGGGCTGAGAAGGAATGCCAAGCGTAGTTAAGACAGTCAGCATATAGATGTGTTATTTTAAATCCACTTCTTGGAGTGCTGTGCACCTTTGGCAAATAAATCACAACTTGTTTTAAAGAAACTGCTTCTGTGTCACTGCATATTATTACTGTCCACAGGCTGCCGAAGGGAAACTCTGATAGGTGCCACGCCGATGGAGCCTGCTAGATGTCCAAACTGGCAATCAGGGGGGTGATTGGATCATGGATATCCACCCCAAAGAGAAGTGGAGGCACAATCATGCCTTGCAAGGGTGCGTGGAACTGGAAAAGGATCTCAAAAGGGTCAGCCTAAGCATTGTCTCTAACCAGAAATATCCCCATTTATTTGTTTATTTATTTCATTTATTTTACTCATGGAGAAACTCAGATGCAGGAAGTTCAAGTGATTTGCCCAAATGAAAATCCTCAAAGATACATAGAAGACGACCTCTGGACTTCCCAACTTCCACTTCAATTCATTAGGGAAAACACTAATTTAATATTACCTTAAATACTGCACTTCATTTCTGATAAATGTAATAGGATGTCCCATTGAAAAAAAATGCAGAATTAAGAAGGAAAAAAAGGCAAAATTAATTCTAAGTTTAAAAGATTTGCTGTAATATGAATTATGTATAAGGCCACTAACCCACATCCAAAGTTCTTGGAGTGCTATATAATAATTTCATAATAAATTATAAACAAATCTAATAAAAACTGCCCTAATAAAACTAAAGAAAAATGGAGGAGAAAGGAAAACATTCTAATAGTTGGGGTAACAAGTAATCTATAATTAGGGGTAAGAGTACTTCACATTTTTTAAAAACTGGGAATAAATGCAAGTCTTTACTTGGTGTTTAAAGGAAGGGAGTGGAGGAGCTGTGGCAAACGGAAAGAGGAAACACCATAGAACCGACTACAGTTCGAGACAGATTATCTGTCAACATGAGGCCCTGGTTCAGGAAAGAATTTAAGCAAAAATATATACGTATGTGTTTATGTCCATTAACTTCAATGGGACAGAAGCGTGTGCTTAAAAGTTAAAGTGTTTTCCTGAACTGGGACCTAACACATGATCATGACATCAGCTCTAGGTGCAGACTCAAAGGGGAGATCAAACTTAGCTGGGCTTACAGTCAAAAATATGGTCCTGCTCTGACAAGCAACTCAATAAAATGGCTTTGTAGGGGGTCTATATTTATTGTCTCTACATGACATCTAGGTCAAACATGATCCACTTACAAGTAAAAGAGATGGGGGAAGGTGTTTTCTAATTACTAGCTTTGCAAAGTCAGCATGGGATCTGAAAGCTAAGCTCATCAGCAGCGTAACCACACTGTCTTCAGACTATACTTTCAGTGATGCTTGTGCAACCTCTTAACGTCAATGGAATTACATAGGTCTGACTGATTAGCCAGGTAGTTGGACTTCAGTAAACAATTTTGTTAATGATGCACAAACTGGAAACAGAATCCAGCTCAGACTCTCTCAGCTGTGTTGTGTCTGCAGGAGCAACAGCAGTAAAAATGTATTATTGTCGCTAAAGTGAGCAGATATACTCACTATGCCACAGAGAAGGGATAAAGATAAGTAAAGAGATACCATTTTAGATAGTCATTTTCAGAGTAGAAATTCACATTAAACAGTGACAGTTTAAAATTCATCCACAACGTTACAGGCAGTCAGTGTATAAATAAAGAACGCAGGGTGGGAGTATTACACAGTGACGGCTTCTTAAATCACTAAGGAAACACGCTGCAGCATTCTGTACTAGTAAGCTATGACAAAAGCCCACTGCTGGAAATCATACCAGGAGGGAATTATAATAATGGAGCCCCACAGCCGCCAGGGCATGTTGCTTTTGTAATGTCATAAAAAACGGTTACTTACCTTCTTGTAACTGTTGTTCTTCGAGAGGTGTTGTTCACGTCCATTCCACAATAGGTGCGCATATGCCACGTGCACAAGCGTCGGAAACTTTTTCCCTTAGCAGCTCCCGTCGGGGCCCCCCCGAGTGGCGCCACTGTGCCATGCATATATACCGCTGCCGCCCGACCCCCTCCGGTTCCTTCTTGCCGGTGACTCTGACAGAGGGGTAGGAGGGGGGGTGGTGGAATGGACAACTCATCTCGAAGAACAACAGTTACGAGACGGTAAGTAACCGTTTTTTCTTCTTCGAGTGCTTCTTCATGTCCATTCCACATTAGGTGAATCACAAGCTTACCTCTGGAGGAGGGTAGGAGTTACGGAACAACTGCTAGGAGGACCGCTCTGCCAACCGCTGCATCCTCTCTGGCCTGCTGGTTGACAGCGTAGTGGGTCGTGAAGGTGTGCACCGAGGACCAGGTGGCTGCTCTGCAGATCTCCTGGATCAGGACCTGAGCCAGGAAAGCCGTGGAAGTGGCTTGCGCCCTGTTCGAGTGGGCTGTGACCATCAGAGCCGGAACACCTGCGAGCTCATAGCATGCCCGGATGCAGCTTGTTATCCAAGACAAGATCTGCTGCGCCGACACTGGAGAGGCCTTTCATCCTCTTGGCTACTCCACAAACAGCTGTGCAGATTTACGAAAGGGTTTGGTGCGCTCCAAATAGAATGCTAGCGCTCAACGGATATCCAGGGTGTGTAAGCTGCGGTGACTCAGGTCCGTATGGGGTTTTGGAAAAAACACCTGCAGACAAATGTCCTGGCCCAAATGGAATTGCGAGACCACCTTAGGGAGGAACTTGGGGTGCGGTCGGAGCTGCACCTTACCCTTGTGAAACACTGTATGTGGTGGCTCAGAGATGAAAGCCCTCAGCTCGGACACCCTTCTGGCTGAGGTAATGGCAACCAGAAATGCCATCTTCCAGGAAAGGTGGAGGAGGGAGCAGGTAGCGAGGGGCTCAAACGGGGGTCCCATGAGTTTAGAGAGGACCAAGTTAAGGTTCCAAGGAGGGACTGCGTGAGTATGGAAACATCTTCTCCAATCTTTTAAGGAACGGTCCCACCACTGGGTGGGAAAACACCGAGCCCCCGAAAACCCCGGACGGAAGGAGGAGATAGCCGCCAGGTGCACCCTAAGTGAGGACGGGGCCAGCCCCTGCTGCTTGAGGTGCAGGAGGTACTCGAGAATGGCTTACATCGGGGCCTGGCACGGCTGCACCTGTTGGGGCTCACACCATCAGGATAACCTTTTCCACTTGGCCATATAGGTAACCCTGGTAAAGGGTTCCTTACTGCCAAGCAGAATCTGCTGCACAGGAAGGGAGCACTGGCTCTCCAAGGCATTTAGCCACAGAGCTTCCACGCCGTCAGGTGTAGTGACTGTAGGTCGGGGTGGAGAAGCTGCCCACGGTCCTGCGTGATGAGGTCCCGGTGTAGGGGCAGGACTACAGGGGCCTCCACCGACAGCTCTAGGAGCGTTGTGTACCAGTGCTGGCGGGGCCACGCCGGGGCGATGAGGACCACTGCAGCCCTGTCCCTGCATACCTTGAGCAGGACCTTGTGTACCTACCAAGGAGAGCCGGGGAAACACATACATCAAGCCCCTTCCCCATGGGATCGCAAATGCATCTGCAACTGAGCCCGGGCTGTGGCCCTGGAACGAGCAGAACCGTGGCCACTGGGCATTGGCCCTGGTGGCAAACAGGTCTACCCGGGG